CAGTAATTTAATTTAATAGCTTCCTAAACTATGTAGTATGTATTGTATATTATATAACCACGTAATAATTTGATTTATCGTAAACGATAAGATAATAATATGCTATAGGTACTAAGATTTTAAACAAACAAATAATATAGTAATGCATTGTGAATACAGATTGTTGTCTTTACGATTCAGCGATTATTTTGAATACAATTGATTTCGTTTTTTTTTTTTTTCAAACCATTAATGTATAATATTAACGGTCTTGTTTAAAACATTTTCAAAATGTTACCCTTGTCCCTCCTACACCATAGATTGGACATATTCATCATTACTTCTTTCTGAACTTGAAAAATAGTTTTAAATTTATGACGATCGTTTTAAATCGTAGACTTTATACGGCCACACAATAAATTAAGAACATAATACCTATTTAGAATTTAATATTATCTTTTGAATTCGTATTCTGAACATCTTTTCATCCATTCAATCGAATATATATTTAAAATGAAAAATGAAAACTACAAATGGTTAAAAATCAATGATAACTATACTTAAAATTATATAAGGGCATAATTGTTACAATTATTAAAATACTGTACAAACAAACATATTACTATATTGTAATATTATGTGAAATACAACAATAAAATAGAAAATGAAAACGAAATAATAATATTTCCGTTATACTATCAAAAAGATAATATAAAAGATATTTGGAACAATGTATTTGAAAAGAAAAAATGTACAATATACTGGAAAACAAATAAGAATATTTATGTATATTTTTATTAAATAAACTAAACGCCAAATTTAAATGTTTATTATATTATATTATTATGGAAATGCTTTGACGTACGAGTATATATATGTCTTAAATATCGGGTGGCTGATGTTAAATATTTGATGTTTGAAAAGTACATGTTTTAAATATCAAAACCACAACGTTCTATAAAAAAACATATTTCAGCACGTCACTTGAATAATGTGGATTAGGTCACACAATGATAGTTTTGGTATTTTAATTAAATTTGAAAGTCATAATCGATCACTTTACATGCACTATGATTTCAAGCGAAGGGTATAACTTACTATGGTTTTCAAATCGATTTCTTTGTGACCATTACGGATTTTGTGTTAGTGTTCGTTTTCCATATTTCTTTAAGTATAATACCTTATTTTTATCAAAAGTGGTCGGACGGGAGGACGTATTGCCCATAACCTTACTTTACTCTTTAATATTTATATGAAATTATTTCCAATATTTATATTTATGTAATAAATATTAAATTTTAAAAAAGACGGACATACTTCGCATACTTTGTATAATGTATATACAATATATATATGTATAAGTATTTATAGTTTTTTTTTTTACGAATTATAACTCGTATCGATTGATAATATATAAATATTATGTATTGTGTATATAAATAAACTATTTCATTCGTTTTATTAAAAAGAGGTAAATAGGTACTGACTGTCGACGAATTGGAAAATCACCAATATTTGTATGGCTACTTATTATTCGATAAAATCTAGAACAATAATAATAATAAAAAAAACAAAATTGATTGAAATTTGAATATACCTACCAAATATACTATGTAAATAACCGATAAAAAAAATTGTTTTACGTTAAAATTTCGTAAATATTGTACAAATGGTTTTCTTTTTAAATTTATTGTTAATAAACGTTGTTTTATAAATTTGTGTGTCTTTGAAACTTACTCGAGAAGCATTTTTTTTTTATCTACTTTATACCAATAAAAATTGATTGGCTATTTACCTATGTAAATTTTTTATTTCTATATATTAGAAAATTACTTCCTCACGAAAGCTATTACAACCAATAATCTTTTAAAGCGTTTGCGACGTATAAAATAATTGTTATTATTGTAATAATTTAATACCAGTTGATTAATATTGTATTCTCAGTTGTATAGTATCTGTTTTATCGTTTTAAGCATAAATTGTGTTACAGAAGCTATAAACTCAAAGGAAGAAAAACTACTTTATGTCGAGTATAAACAGTTACAAAATATAAAATGAGTTTATATAAAACAGTCGAAGATCATTTTTCCGAAATAGATGATACGAAAAAAAAGTGTTTCCACATTAGATGAAAATTCGACTCTGAAGTCCATACGTTGAAATGCAATAAAATGATATAGATACGTCTAAGAAAAAAGGCGCGTAATCATTAGTGTAGATACCACGGAAAATGCACAAAATCCTAGGAGAATATTATAAATGTTGAAATATTATCACGTAAGTGAATCCAATATCAATATTATTGTCAAAATACCTAGTATCTCCGGGTTATCATTTTCTGCACCTAATCGAAAAATAACACAAAACATTTTAATTAACTGTTGTCTAACCAATATTAAACCATTAAAAAAATTTAATTTTTTTAATCAGTTTTCGCGTCTCTCGAAAATAAACAACATTATTTTGAAGATAGGAGTTATTAAGAGATAAGATACATGAGATATGTTTGTTTAAACATCAATGATATGCGAAATATAATAGTGAATACATGCACCATTGTATCGCGTAAATTAAATGTACAAAGCATATTCAAATGCCTGGGGTCAAAGTATACGACAGAATTTAAAATTATCGAGTGTTTCGAATCGCTTTGAACTGCAGTTAGTTATTATATTAATGTTTTCTTTTAATCTCGATAACAACACAGATACGGTCAGTGCGCACTTTATCATAAGTACATACGTAATGAGCCGTCAATACGATGATGTGTACATCAGTGGGGCATCGTTGTGGGTGAATTTTAAACTCTAAGTGAAATGTTTTTAAATAAATGACCACTTCACTTATCCCTCCACACTTTCACGTATTTCTACATTAACCAGACATAATTAATTTTCCGGTTTTTAACAAGTAGACTTGTTACAGACAAAATCAACGAAGAATCTTTTTTTTATGACATTTTGAATTTAGATGAGATTTTGAAGAAATTACTTTTTTAACTACTACTTTTGTAGCCTTTTCCGCATAATAATAATAACTGAAAACTTAGTCATATTTTATCAGAATTAGACAAACGTTTAATTGCGATCGGGAGCAAATATTCGTCTAACCAATATCATTTTTTAAATTTTTGAATCGCATTTCAGATCTTAATCTTAGGCCTTGCATTTTGAATTGTTATATTAAAGAACCATCCGAATTCAAAATGCTGGTACGTAGACCGTTTGCGAACAATTAAAAGTTATTCATAGTTATCGGGTTTTTAGGCCGGTCGAATAAGTTAATAAAAGCATTCACAAAAACCATTCGTACACGGAATTCGTTCGGCACACAATAATTCTTTATAGAGAAATAAAATTACTTTTTTAATATTATGCATTATCGCATTAGTGGTGCATAGCGTCAATATTAGGAAATATTCCGCTACGCGTCATACCGGCATAGTGTTTTGATATTATTATGAGCGAGGAAAAAGTGGCGCTACGCACACGGTATTATAATAGAAAAATAAATAGTTACTTCTGCTTACGGGTAATATAGGCGCAGTGCTTGAATTGAAAAAATAAAAGAAGGCAAGACTATGAGACACAAAAAAAAGTAGCGTCCTTCCTTGCAATGTTTGACGTCAACATGCTCTGCGGGGGAGGGGCTTCGCTCTCACACCACCTTACGTCAATTTTAAAAAAACTACACAGTCCACTGTATTTTTTAACACAACCCACGGACTACACCATTGTTTAGACTAAAAATTATTATTAATTAATAATTAATACATTTACATAATTAGGCGATTACAATTTCATAACTCAAATAATTAAATAATTGGAAGCACTTGGATATCGTAAATCGTGCTTATCAGTCATCATATTTTATTAGACAAAGCCACTAACGTGCAATAACGAAACAAAAAAAATTCATTACTGGATTATAAATTCTAAAAAAGAAAATATACAATTTACTTTAGTTGACGATATAGGGCAATACATATTTGTTGGAAATATTAATATTTACTCAAAAAGACATACCAATCCCCTCTTACCTCCGTCCCGATGGAAATAATTAGTTAGGGTACGCTAAAAAAAAATACAAATAATAGAGGAGCTTCGTTCACCCCTTAATTTAAGCACTGTATATTTATATCACGTATATATTACACGTGTATATTATATTATAAGTTATACATTACGTCATTACACACAGGGTAATTTAGTTTGTGAACTGTGTACAACGATGGGTCGTTGTAAACAAAAAACGATTCTGAGCAGAACGGTTATTAGCCAGTATTTTCCCTTTGTTTCTAGAGTAACTGGAATAACCTACTGATAATCTTGATAAATGTAATTCTGTAATTTTGAGGTACTGCGTGAAGTGAAAAAATCGAATACGTAACAAAACGGCTACGCAAAAAACATTTACGCTTTCGTCTATATACTCGTAATATTATTATTCGTGTAATTTTGAGGCGGGAAAGGGAGATGTACAATACCGTACGTTTATTATAATGACTTTTGGATAGATATTCATTCGGTTTTTTGTTTCGTACATGTACAGGCGGTGTGGCCAGAGACGGATTCACGGATGAGGGGTCCGTGCCCCGATAAAATGTCGTCTGAAAAAAAGACGATCTGTACCTTTGGAATCGCGTGATTTTTCAGGACGCCTGCTAGGAAAACGTTCAAAATCCGTCACCACGATCGGTGGCTAGGAGTCGGACGGTCTTTGCGGACATTTTCACATTCGGCGTTTTTCGTCGAACGTGCGGCAGCCCGAACGCACACGGCGAACCCTCGTAGGTGTGCTCCGGACGACCTTGTGCAGTCCGGTGTCGCGAGCGCGCGGGGTCTTCGGACGACGGGACAGGACCGGTACGGCCGCGGTTATCGCGAAACGCGGGCCGCGGCGGCGGCGGCGACGACAACAACAAAAACCGGATAGATGTCGTTACACGATAATCGATTGCTACGGCGATAACAATGATAAACCGCGATAATCACCGGTATATCGGCGCGATAATAACAATAATGCGCGATCGCTACCGGCCTACCGGCCTGCCGCCGCGGCGTGTCTCCCACCACGCGTCAATTACGGTGATCGCCGACGCCACCACCACCACCGCCACCACCACCACCGAGACCGCCAACACCACGGCTGCCGCCGCCGCGTTATTACCTATAACCGTACCACCACTATGTATTATTATTATATTATAACATTATTATTACCACCGCGGCGGGCGGGCGGGTATGAGGTAGGTACCTACTACTATACACACTTTCTTTCTAATCAGCTGACCTTCCGGCCAAAACGTTCGCTCGCTCGCTGGTCGCGCGTCCGCGGCGGCGGCGGCGGCGGGTGAGGGAACGCGCGCGTCGCGTACTGCTACGCGACGACGACACGACCGACAACACACGCACACGCACGCAGACAGTCGTCGCGCACACCCGATATACGAATACGTACGTAGCGGCCGGCCGGTTTGCGTCGAACACACGCGAGCGCGCACGATCTATCGGCGCGATACAATAAAAATAATAATAACACGAAATACAATAATAATACCTACCGACGGTCGCGTCGATCGAGAAAATTTTTGCGCTCTCAGTTTAGTTTTCATCCCGACGCGCACGCCGCCGCATTGCGCCGCACGCGATAGAAAAAAAAAAAAAAAATTCACCGCCGAGATAACAACACAGTTTATTGATAGTACGCGCGTCTTGTCGCCTGTCGCGAATATTTCGATCGTTTAGTATTGTAATTTTTTGTTTCGCCTTCGGAACTGTTGCCCGCTTACCGTTTCGATCGCCGTCGTAGTCGCGTACCGTCGTCGAGTTCGCGGTTTTCCGAGTGCGGTCGCCGTCCCGGACGTGTGCGAAATTCGTATCGATAACAATTTCAATAAGAAATCGTCGCCGCGCGTTCGTCCCCGCGGCTCGCCGGCGCCCGCGCGCGTCGTCCGCGATCTCGTCAATATTCCGACCGGTCGTTTTCACCCCGGGTCCCCGTTACCGTGCGGAATATTTGCGATCGGCAAAACATGTCGTAATAGCCGCCGTATTATTTGGATACTGTCTCCGTAATACCGCCGCCGTCCAATACGTATTATTGCAAAATCCGTTCGCGATCGGTTCGCCAATAACAGTTCGCACGCCGGTCACCGCGCAATATTTAATATTGTTTTGATAATAATCCGCCGTTTTCGTCATATTTTCGATTACCACTACGCAGCAGCAGCAGCAGTAGCGGCAGCAGCAGCGATTCGCGCCGGACGCGTGGAACCAGTCGCCGTCAAAGAAACGTAAGTCTCGCCGTACCCGTTTTCGGACGGGTACTTACTTTTAGATGATAGCGGCGGCACTTGAACCGCGACGATATTGTTCGGCGAATTGAGTTACGGCCGGTCCGGAGGGGAGTAGGGTGTCGGAGGATAGAGAACGCGGTACGCGGGCGAGCCCGGATTGAGGGGGCGTCCGATGGAGGGTTCGCGGCAACACTCCGCGGGGACCCGTATTTTTTTTTTTTTTTTAATTTTTCGATATTTTATCGGTTTTTTTTGTTTAAATGTCTTTTCGTCAACGGCCTTTCGTGAACACTATCGGATTTTTATTATTCTTTCTCGGCGGTCCCGTCGAAAAGTTTGGCCACGAATATCTCGATCCCCGGGTAAATTATGGCGAATCTCGTGCGGGGGATGATACGCCGGCGAGGACGTCCCCCCGAGGATTCCCGTGCTCGCGGCCGTCGAATCCGTCCGCTACAAATTACGGAAATACGGAAAACTAGGCGTACCTACGTCATTTATTATTAGTGATGATGCGAGTACGCGTACTGCTTGTTTTTTTATTTCTCCGAGCACTCGCGATTTGTTCCTCGATAATTATTATTATTACGACCGTGTTATTTATGTCCGGCATTAAACTTGTCGTCTATTTTGGCGGGTTAATTTATCATCCTTAAACAGGAAACGCCGCGCCGCCGTCGTCGGTGTTTTTGTTTTTGTTTTTTTTTTTTTTATCGGTTCGTTTTTCGGGGACCGGTTTCGGATACGGTCACGGCGCGATTCGATTCGCGCGATATACGCGGGCAGAGCGTACGCGCCTATATACCTGTATTATGATATCATACCTAACTGCCTCTGCTCGTAAATACGTTTCGAAAAGGCCGGCCGTACGATTACAAAAGTCCCGCGATTTACAACCGGACTAATGCGATTTGTGCGGAAAAACTACAGCGGCGCGGCACCTGTATTGCATGTATTATTACGGCGGTACGCCGAATATCGTTGTGTACACTTCGGTTGTTTTTTATTTTGTATTGATTTTTTTTTTTTTTCGACACATGTAAACGGCCACATTACACGTTGCCCGTGTACCCGCGCGGGCCGCCCGCTCAACGCGTCGAAACCGCTGCACGCATCGCGGGGCACGTTTAAAATAATTTCGTCCGCGGCAACATACAATATCGGCAGGTACGGGCACTAAACAAGACACACACGAAAAAAAAAAAATAATAAAATAATATTATGCTACGCGCGAAAAACAACCGGTCATTGTGTTCCGAGTTTTTTTTCCCCCCGTCTCGCTAGCCGCCGTACGTTCGGTTTTTTCGACGAATTATTGATAACGTCGAAAACGTCACAATCGATCGCGGCCCGGCGCGACACGGTTTTTGCGGGGCGGCGATTCTCGTGCGCGGCGCGGCCGCGGGTTCTGGGCGCGCCGTGACGTGCAAGGCGGACAGCCAGCCGACCGTAATTTTCACGGTGGGCATACGCGGCGGCGGCTGCGGCGGCGTGTAACCGGAACCCGCGGGCAAAACACGTAAAACACCGTGGATTAGAAAAGGCGGTGACGAGCGGACGGGGAGATGAGAGAGAGAGAGAGCGAGAGAGAGAAAGGTCATCGGTAACGGAAAAAGGTCGCTGTTTGTTTTCACGTACGCCGTCGAATCGCGCCGCGGCGCGCGTTAACGTGCGTCGGTACGGCGATATTTGCCCCGATAATGGCTGTAATAATAAACAAGACGTGCGGGGTGGAGACCTTTGCGTAATAATTAATGTACGCGTTATCTCAATCAATGCGCACGCACCCGACGTACGGTTATACGATAACAACAACGACATTGTGTCATAATATCACTGGTTGTACACTTACCTACGCCTGTAATACCGCGGACGCGGACGTAATTATTAAAATTATATTTTTTTTTATTTTTTTTTCTCTATCGACTGCAGCGGCTTTTATTATTATTATTATTATTATTATTGTTACGGATTATTTGCGATTTTATCATTACGCGCTCGCCTCGAGTTTCAACCGATTATTTCGTCTTGTGCGTAATGCAGTGCGCGACGTGTACTTATGCGGCCGCGCTTTTCCGGAAGAATCGAGCACCTTAAGTGAAATTTAATCGTCGATCGGGAAATTATTTGAAAATCCGTAAGTGCCCGGATTGAGTAATCCCGGATTCGGGAGGAACAGGGCGACAACAGTCCGGGGGGGGGCTCGGTTTTTCGCCGCAGTATATTGTGTTCTTCGTCAATACAACCGTGAACTTTGTATTGTTTAATATTTTATCGCCCCTCAAAACCTGCTATTGTTGTTTTATTTTGTTAATAACATATCCAGTAATAATTGTTAACGAACTGTTTGCATTATTCATTTTAAAGGCCTTAAATGTCTTAATCCGAGCTTGGATACGCTCAGTGTTTATTTCATGGATGATCTAGAGTTTATTGCCCCCTCCCTGCAGAAAACTGTATGCCGTTACTATCTAAATTACATGCGAAATGACCGATTACGAGTCATATTGTTGACAATAAAATAATAATAATAAAAAATTGCGTTGTTTAATTAACCGTATTTTAATGAAATACACAAAACAAGTCGTCATTGAGCGCATTTTCGTAATTTTCCTATATTGGAATTATATCAGTGTGATAATGTTATGAAAAAAAAAAAAAATGGAAGAAAATTGTACTTTTTTACAAATTGTCCATAGGTTAGTGCAGTTGTTAATTCGTAACTCCGATACAAATATCCTGTAATTACTTCTATATAATCGAACTTAAAAAGGCAAGAAAATTCTCTGGGTTTGTGTACGTTGGTTTTTTTTTTTTTTGTTGGCGTTTTAATTGTCAAGTGGGATATAAGTAGAAACATCGCGATTTAAAAATGATAACATGACATTAGATTACTATAAAATTATAATAGAAAAACCGAAATTTTATAAATCGTTGAAGAAATGAATCTTTCTTTATGGGAAAAAAAACGTCTCAAAGCGGTCCTCGACCTGTCGAAAGTTCTCTAAAGTGGTCCGTACCGTCAGAAACGTTAAGAAACACTGCACCTACAATACGTGTGCAGACACAAACGTTTCTATCCGGATGGACGGTGGAAGTGAAATTGTAAATAAAAAAATTTACCGAATATATTATTCCAATGTATTATGATAATATTTTACTCGGGAATTTCGTTGGCGTAATAATAATTATCGTTATATTATCACGACGTGTTTGTATAAATGTTAATAATAATTATACAAAGTTTCGAAACATTAACTATTAATAATGTTATAATGTCCGTCGTGTTGGATATTTATTAGGACAGAAAGTGCATTTATTATTCGTATACATTAACGCTAATATTATTATTGTAAAATAGAAAAATTCTTATTTACTCGGGACGATCAATAATCCCGCGATCGACGGGACGGTTTTGTTTGTTGTTTTTTTTTTTTTTCGAATCGAGTAATGGAAAATAATATGTAAAATATCGAAAAAAAAGATGACACGACGATAAAGCCGAATAGGTAAGTACTTCATCAAAATTATGTCGCATGTGCAGCGGCGTTCTTAAAATATCCATTTCTTGTAATATATTATCGGTATTTACTATATTTTTGAAGTCAAGGTTTCACCTGTCTGTGTGAAAATAATAATGATACGAACCGACCGTGGAAGACCTTCGTTTAAATTTGGGATTGCACTCGCGTCGCTACTCGTGTTTATTTCGATTATTATTGTACAACGAATTTCGTTACGATTTTGTTTGACAAAAAAAAAAAAAACAAATATATATATATGTATATATGTGTGTGCATAGGTACAGACTAAACACTTCATAAACAAAATATGTTATAATTATTCTTACCTACTTGCGCTGTTGATGTACAACGAATAGAATGTACTAAAACTTAACACGCTCCGCCGTGGACACTATCCAATATTTCGCCGAAATTCAAGGCCCGATCCGGATGAAACATTGAAGTCGAAACGCATACTTAAAATATAGGCGTCATAGGTGAATCGATTTTTCTTTTCTTTTTCACCAACGTGCCGTGATAAGTCAAGTTGATCGCCGGAAATTCCCCCGATAAACGCTTACCTCTCGGTTTTTTTTTGTTTTTTTTTTTTTTTATCGAATTTCGCCGCAAATAGTGACTGTTGCGCAGTACTGCGTCTGACTCTTCCGCGCTGCTTTTGGGCATTTTTAGCGGTTCCCCCTGGACCGAATGAACTCATAATCGGTGGTTAGGCTAATTGTTTTATTGATGAAACGAACCGATACAATTTTGGTCAAATTTAGATATGAATTCATTCGTGTTTTCGGAGGACAAGGATGTTTTTATTCTAATTTTGTACACTCCTATACAGACCCCACTCCCCTTGAAGGAAACCCGGGAGATGCTATTGTGTATATGCGCCGCGTGAGTATCAAGAATGTGCCTTCGAGGGGTTTGGACTTTCGATACCCGCTCCAATAATTTTTCAAACTGAAATTTCATGTTTTCATGGGAAAACCCGAGTTTTAAATGTCCCTACAAACTCGTCAAAGTAACCGAGTTAAAATATGTATAAATAACCATAGAATAAAAAGCTATCAATAGCTATAAAAAAGGTGTAAATAATTTTTTGTTTATCGATTCGGGCTTATAAATAATAAAATATTTACGAATGTAGTTTTTATTTAAAAGTCAACAATACTATTATCTGTTTAAACGAGTAAAATATCAATTTTTCGTTTAAACTCCGAACGATTATATTTTTAATTGGCCAATTATCTGTATTATACCTTCTATTATAAAAGATCAATAGCCTAATCGAGAGTCTAATTAATTTAATACGGTTATTTGTGTATATTATTATAACGTATATTTAAACAGGTATCGCGATGTAGATACGCAATTGATAATTTCAACGCAAATAATATTTCAAAACTTGAGCAAATACTTGAAACTTATTTTAACAGAATAAAAAATATACGTTTAACATTTGTCTTAACACGAACGAAAAAAATTAAATTCGTACGTATTAATAATTCGGCGTACTTAATTTACTAAGTAGAAATTAATGTAACGCGCGCGTGTCGTCCATGTTACACGTCATGCATAATAGTGAACACAATATTCGGGGTATTTTTTATTATTTTTTTCATAATTGTAATGCATGTTCTCATTTTCAAATGCGTACATATTAGGGCGTTTCACGTCACGTTTTTTTTCAAATAACATGATATAGTCGAAATTAATTATATTATATTTTAAACGCGAATTAGGTATGTCAAATTAGAAAAATTCAGTGAAACCGTATGGATCGTATGTTATTACCCGTGAACAATACTTTTCGACCACTGATCTCATTTCGATTTCGATTTCAGACGCGATTTCTCGTTCTTCGGGGAGATGATTTTTCGATGTTCCTCGTATCGGTACTTTAAACGGGAAAAAACCGAGTCCCTCGGATAATCGCAGACTTGAAATTTTCACCGGACACTTGGGACCGGGTAGCATTTTACATAGACGCGGCATAATATTAAAAATATATAATTTTTTTCTTTGGTTTTATGTGGAAAATTGGTTTTCGGTTTTTCAAAAATTCTCGATAATTTGATACATAGTTCGTTACGCGTTATTCTTATGATGACGATTTTACGAAAAAATCTGTAGTCTGTAGTATTTGTTTTTGAATAAGCGTTTAAAGTTTCAATTTGATTGATTTCGTCACATTAATGAAATGTTGCGATGTCTCCGGAGACTGTATATTTTTTTACTGTCTGTTTATAATGTCCCACTATTAATCTACAGGGTGATTCTTTTTAAAACTAGCGATTATTTTTTAGTTTAGGTACTTTTTATGACTTAACCTTATCTGATAGTTTGAAATTTAGACTAGAGGAGTGTTGAGAAGGGTAATCTTGTCGTGATGAAATGTATTACCCCGTACTACCCCTCCGGATAACATTCTAAACGGTATATCCAATAATACAGCGTTATGCATATCGAACATTAAAAAAATAAATAAATTCTTTTACGAATGAAGAGTTTAAAAACGAGAATTGCCGTTTGTACGTCAATATTGCAGATATGTATATTTAATGGTTTAAAAAAAAACAGAAAATAAATTTACTCGACATTTTCGTATAGACATAATACCGTTAATAGAAAAATAATCACCCTGTACACTATGCACTTTAGGTTCGGCGCCAAACGAGCTGATGTCGGGGACCGGTCGCAACGCCGACGTAACAACTCGCGATGACGAACGTTTATCGTTTTATTCATACGGATAATACGAAAAACACGTCGCCGTGAAGTTGTAAATTCGCCCCTCTCTTCGTCAAAAAACAACCCCCTTCGTTTTACTGATAGCCGTCGCCATTACTCCCCACCGTCCGTTCTTTTTCGATCCGGTGTTTTAAAAGGCTCATTGCGGCCGAAAAACAAACTTTCTCGCATTTTTCTCCGTGTCTCGAGTTACGTTGCCGACATTTGCACTCCGTGCAAATTCCCGTTCTTGTGTTTTGTCGATCCATCTCCGTTTCGGTCTTCTCACCGGACCCCGTCCACCGCGGAGTGTCCACTCGGTCTCTTGTGTCGGATTTCCGCGGCGGCCAATCGGGTTTCCGAATAGTCGCCGCACTTTATCGACGCAACGAGTTTGCGTCACCTCCGTTCACGAGAATTTCGTCCGTCGCACACTTCGAGGGCATTCGGATGGCTGCGAAACATTCGAACGCACTTCAGGTGTCGCCGCAAAGAGCAAAAGTGTTAACAAAACGGCCCGCGGCTGTAGTTGCGCAACCGCGTAGTTATTTATTTATTTTTTCAATTCTCGTTCCGCATTATCTTTTCCGACGGCAGACATGGCGCCAATAATATTTTAATAAATAACATTATGCGCGCGCGTCTGTACACCGTGTTTATTTTTACACACGCGTGCATAGTGATTGTTTTATGATCTACAATGTTATTCGCGAGACTCGTACGAGTCGGAACGCGTGTCCGCTGTTTTCCACCTGCGACGTCCTGCAGCCAGCGGGGCGTAAGTGTGGGCCCGGAACGATCGGCCGGACGCGCGCCATGTCGCGTAATTTTACGCGCGGGGCCGTCGGCGGCGAGTCGTTGGACGGTTTCAAAAATTTTTATCTTCTTTTAACCGCCGCCGCCGCGGAACGCCGACTCGTACGCCGGCGTACGGGCGTGTTGTTATTACACGGGCACTGTACGCGATCATACGCGACGCGGCTTGACTACACGGCGGCGTGTATAATAATATACGAAAACGAGACCGCGCTGTCGACGAGACACGTATAAATATTGTGTCGTGCGTTTGCTAACCGTGCACGGTTACCGGTTACCTGCAGCGGTTACCCGATGTGCGCGTGTGTTTATTACATTATATTATACTGTGTACTTACTGCCATACGGCGAAAACCGTTTTTGGCCGCGACTCCGTGTCTACGAGTCATAATACCGCTGTCATATACCTCTCTATACGCGTAATATTATTATACACCGACCCGTACCGCGAACTCTCGCTCGGTATCCTTGTTTATCACACGCGTTCGTTTGCTTATTTGCTCGATGTCCGCGCGGACCGTATTCAATTAATTTATACTAAACACCGTAATCCGTTGTCGTATAGTATTACGGGGGGGGGGGGGGTATTAATACGGTATAGCAATACATATAGTGTCGCGTTAGGTACATACGTACAACGTTGTAACGCATGGACGGAGGAAGCAAATCAATCGATTGATATTCGCAAAGGCAATCAAATGTAATTAAAAAACAAATAAAAACTTATAATATAATAGTTACGTGTTTCAATGAGTTTTCTTTGTGAACGATTTTACCCCGATTTGTTAGTTATTTAGTTATCTTGTTAGAATTCAGATTATTTACGAATTGTTCGTAAAAAAATAAAAAAACGGTACCTTTAGATTTTTTCGGAATTATTTGTATAAATATAGTTAATGGCAATTTAGAAAAATCATTTTAAAACTAACTCTGCTGAGTTATTATTATTATTTTTTTTTTTCAAATTTGCCGATTTGCCCATCTTTGTTAATTTTCAATCGAAATCGTGTAATTTCAATTTCAATACAAATGTTTGTTCTCCTTTTGATGTATAAGCCGTCGCATTTTTCCGAGTTCAAAACGTTATTTTACTTAAATGCTACTAATTAATAAAGTGCAGTTGGTACGGTATTATTCGATAACGTTCACATTTTAAACGTAAAAAAGAAAAAAAAATCAATTATCTGCGTCGGAAATGTTAAAACGAGAAATTGGAAATTTCGACTATAAAATCATTCTGGAAATTCGATTTGTTTGTAAAAATGTCGTAATCGAATCTAGTTCTCGTACCTACTTGGTATATGAAAAAAAGTGCCGCAGGTTCGTAATAAAAAATTATTCTGTATAATTTCGGAATTAATAATACTACGACGAGGAAGCCTTAATTTATGTATTTTAGATTTTTTTTTTTTTATGTACCTACCTATATTGCGTTATAATTACATTATTATTCAATTTTTACCAAAAAGAAAACTAACTATAAATACCTTTATTAACAATACAAGTATAGCTGTTATAATTTATTCGACTGCAATCAATTATAAAATGTAAATCGATTATTTTTTTAAAATTAGGAATCGTCAGATAATTTATCAGTGAGAGATTAACGTGTTTGGCATTACCTATAGGCAATCATCTATAGCGTTAAATTGTTAAAGGCGCCAAGCAGATTCCAAGTACACTATCTTATTCAAAATATTTATGTTTTATTTTTTTTTTTTTGGTTCTAGTATTGAATTTCATTGAAAACTTACCCAAATGCTTAACACAAATAGTTTTAGAAAATAATAAAATAATATTATGTTTTTATCAATCTTCATTATTGTGTATTCATGCGTAATAAACAAACACGATTTATAATGGTTTTAAACCGTGGTTAACTATTTATTAGACCTTATTAGTAATTACTAATCAGTATCTTTTAACAATCAATTCAAGTTGACGATTACGTCGCCATTCGACTCTATTTGTCTTTAATTTTTTTGTTTAACTTTGGGTGATTTGCACAATAATTGCATTTTGTGTTGTGAACGTTTACTATTATCAAAGTAATAACTATAAAGTATTATACTTTTGTCAATTTGTTTGTACACTCTCTTATTTCATATTTGAAGCGTTGTTATAATACTTACTGGTTATGTAGTTATGATTTTGTTTAGTATATCGTGTTAGTGATATGTGACGACACAATGTTTTATATGCACTTGCCCATAGAAAATAGGATTGTTAACGTCAAAGTGTACGTAGCCCAACAAAAATTTAGGATACTGGGCCGAGGGTAAAATCATTACCTACTGGCGCATTTTTCCTTAATCCGGCTATGCAAATTATACGTATTTAGTATTGTGTACATGTTAATATTTTATAGGCTGTAAAATTAACGCGTAGGTATACGTTATGATCACGATGTTTATTATGTTAACGATGTGAAAACTATTTTCGAAAGAAAACACGAAAATCTTTCCGCGCGTGTGAATATCTCAAGAGATTTACTCGTCTATAACATTCAGATTTCGGTATAGATAGGTATTTTAATTATTTTCTCACTGGCTTAACTTTATTGTATAGTCGTTTACATTTAAAATAATAAATTAGGTACTCTCTCTATGTGTATTGTGTTTTATAATATAATAATAATTGTCCGAGTACTCAAAGTGAAAAAATAATAATCACGCGGAAACCACTGCAGTCTACGAATTGATCTTGTTTTGTTTTTTTTGTAATTTAAAAGTAGAAATAAAACCGTATTTTTAAGTTATGAAAAACTGATGTTTCTCGCGGTCGTCGTAATGGAATTTATTAATGAATTCGCACGTATAGGTTTACTACAACAGCAGTTTCGTATTCATTTTTCCCGAGATTTTTTAAACATAAAGGTTTGTATACCGGAAACGGCGATAAATCGTTGCAATCAAAAACCAATTCAGAGCGGAGACAAACCGGGAGGTTGTATCACATTATAAGTCGTGTGTTTTTCCCTAACAGCGCCAAGGCAACCCAGAAATCGACAAAAATAAAACCAATGTGCCAATTGCGAATTTTGATAATTGTTTCAAATAAGTTATTGTCGGGTAGAAAATCCGCACCCTTTAAAGTACGGCACGAAAAAATACTAATAATATGGTTACTATATATATATATATATTTTATGCGGATTAGGTAGGTGAGGCGTCTAAATAATCCTGTTGTTATTTTATCTCTATAATAACATTGCTAATTTCCTTGTTTGAGTACACAATTTTGTTGGCTAATTGATACTCTTCCAAGTTTTTGTTTGAATAGATTGTGTTTATTTATGCTATGTTAAGTATACTTATTTGAATATATATATATGAGGACAAAATATAAACCTCCTAGAATTGACTGCAATATAAAATAAGCGGTCAAGTTCAGGTACGTTGCAATATTATTATATTTTTATGTTTTTTATAATTTACACGTGGTAATTATTACTATATTATACTGGTAGTTTATTTTGTTTCTGCGTTAACCCGTGAAAATTACGGAAAACCGAAAATCCTTCGTTTCGTACTTATATGGCTACGATGACCATCATACCTATAGTAATATTATTCGCGGCCTTCTCAATATAAAAAATAACGTGGTACCTAGTGATAAAAATGTTGTTATAAGAATGCTGTAGCGTTCTAAGGTTGCCTTTTCCGGCGCGACTGCGGGATAAATTATTATGAAAAAATTCTAGTTGTCGAACTGCAAATCCCGTGACTATCTCGAATATATCTCGGGTTACTTGGGGATCTCTAAGGATCAAGGATTTTGTGTACAATCGTCTAAGTAATTAAACTTGTCGTTCCATCTCGTTGAGATTTTTCACGGTGATAAAAAAAGAAATGCACACACGTGCTCACGTCTATACGTATGAATTTAATATACTATTTGGCCGGAACTTCAATAATAATTGGAACCCTGACTTTGAAAATATTACTGACCGTTCCGCTGGGCCACAGACATGACGTGTTGTATATAAAGATACATTGTAAAATGGCTATATTATAATAAAATAATGCTAGAATATCGTTCAATTTCGTATAACGTACATTATAAAACGATGTGTTGAAAGTATAGTAAAAGTACACTGAAATATATTTTAACTAATACTCCATGATGTATGTATAGAATTTTAATATAGGTTACCATTTGAAAATCAAAAGTAGGTAGTTTCGTTTTCAAAATAAGAGCGATAACAAATAACGGCGATGTAACATTTTAGAGCTGCTTGTTTCTAAAAAACGCACCGTATTGACTGCGGAAATATTGTCTTCTTTTAATTTTATTATTGGTGTTTTTACTCTAAAACCGAAATTCGGCGTGTTCTACGCAGTTTGCGTCGGGATATTTTTCGGCTACGTTGCCATTGTTTCCCGTTAGTTGGACCGAGACGGCATATGCGGACATCACGTCTTCTTAACATAGCTCATTATTTTTCCTATTTATTTAAAAATATATATATATATATATATATATCACCACTTAAAAAAGATTTATCTAAATAATTCGATTGTGTATCTCTGATGACTGTTATTTCTCATTTATGCAATTAGACAAGATAAAAGATAACAAATTCACTCATCTAGATAAAATACAAGACCGATCTATACATTAGTATTATGTACCTACACGGAATTTTACCGGTGTAATTCTTTTTTATCATCCCTTAGGTATCATACGTCATGTTGTTAGTTATTTTCACGTGCGTGCTCGTTTGTTATTGTTATCCTACAACGCGCGCACATAAACATTGATCCGGGTTCGGACATCCGTCGTCGTCATCGTTTTTTTTTTTTTATTACCATTAACTCGTGTGACCTCTGATCCGGTCGGTTAAATTTTGTACGCTCGGAACGATAAAAAAAAAAAAAACCAAGAAGAATGATAATATATTATACCTAGTAACTATATATACAATATTACGATGGTATTATATATTACCTATACGTATTAGAAGGTATCCAAAGAATATTATTCTTGAAATCGTACAAAAAAAAAAATAATACGTTTACCCATCTTATATACTATATAAATATAGGTAGCTAATCAACGCGGCCACTTTCTCTTTCGTTTTAGCCGTTTCATATAGACACACTCGATGTAAAACGACGATTGGATACCTATACGTAAAAAACAATAATCTGTTTTTTCTTGTCGAACGTGTTTCATATGATGTCCGTGGTAAGTTCCACTTACGATAGTAATCGAAAATGACGTACGATGCATATTTTTTTAAATATTTGACTATAGGGTATGCAACCTCAACCCGAGGGATTGGAGAGGGACGGAAATAAAATAAAAGTTTAATTTTCGAAGTATCTGTCACATGGTTACACGAGCGTGTACAGTATCTCTGGCCGAAAAAAAGCGAGCTTTGTATTGATAGAATCCGCACATTGATTATTACGGATTTTTATTTATTTTATTATTTTTTTTTTTTTTAAAGGGAGGATAGACGACGGATTCTTATACAATAATTTAGTAGAATAGAAATAAAATGATATAATATCTTATCCGCAAAAGTCCAATAACCATATTATTATTCGCATTGATTCATTATGTTCATAATGTTCATCGGGAATATTATTGTTTTGGTGGCGGTTCTAAGTAGGTACTCCCGCAAACGAAACATTTTTCACTAAATCGAATACATTTTACGAAAGAATATTAATAAATAATATAAAGTATAATAATATTATTGTCACAATATATCTGCGGTTAATAGATTATTAACTTAACGAAATACGAATGGGTAATACCGATACGTATTGTTTTGTTTCAGTTATTTGTTTTTTTTTTTTTTTTTTTTTATTATTCGAGGATACTCAACCTCGTTTATGTTAAATAACTTTCGAATGCTTTGTGGTTTTTTTGCCGCGTCGTGAGACAATAAAGATAATAATACAGTTAATTTAACGTTTTAATTGTTCGATTTTATTTAGTGAACTGTATTTTACTTTTTTTTTTTTTTTCAAAGGTCTATGCAAGTTATCTAGATACATTTTTTTTCATTTAAACAATTTATTAACTGTTATCGTTTTAATAACACTGTATGATTACCGCGTGTTGAATAATAATAAACCGCGTCTGTTATAACACTGTACATAGTAACTTAACTTCATATATATATTTTTTTTTTAGTAAATTTTAAAACTACTTAACAATTTGAATATGGTTTTTTCCCTGATCATTAGTTTCTATTGCAGTAGTACGTAGAGAAATACATTGCAAATATTAATAATGGAACACGAGTTAAATAATTTATAATAATGGCAATATTATTATCACTGTGCGCCTAATACTCTAACCGCATGCACTTACGGTATAATTAAGATTATTGTTAACATTATCATTAACGCGGTGATGACGTAATTATATTTGAAACGTACACAATAATATACACTATACTCTCTCTCTTGTAATATTATACGAATTACATTTTTTTTTTTTCTTAGTTTGTGCCTCGGTCTGTAATACTTACACACGTAGGCTTCAAAACGCCTCGGGTACGTCCGTATGTAAGTATTTGTGTGAGCGAGTGTGTGCGAGATTTTAATAATAATAATCGTAAACAAATATATTGTAATAAACTAATACGTGTTTTACGATTCTTATGTGTGTACAATTGAAAGTCTGTAATATCTTTCTGTCCATTATAGGTATATAAATGGATAGTTTTATGAAACTTTGCACACTTGACATTCGAAACCGAAGGAAGGTTATACTGTCTATACTTTTTATCTCGAAATTCAACCCCTAAACGGTTACTGATACAGAGGTTTATGGTATTTTTTGAACGAAATAAAATTTTTTTTTCTTTTGTCAATTTATGGGTTATTTTTGTGACACGAATAAAAAAAAAAACAGTTATTATTATTTAATTTGGTTGTTATACACACGAAAAAGTATCCTTTTTCAACGATAAATTTCTGTCCAGAAAATAACGAGTAATTCAGTCATTTTATACAGGGTGAGCACACTTAGTAAATAATATTATTTTAAAGCAGTATATTTTTGTTTTATTTTAAACGCGTTGATAATTTACTCCCAAATACAATAGTCTCGAATTATACGTTTAGTATAATATTTGGTACGCAACCGGATACAGGTCTATTTCCGTTTACAAAAAAAAATATATATAAATTCTATCGGCAATAGAATACGACTAATAGATAAAATATTTCATAATATAAAGTATTATTTGCGTTGGCGCGTTATGGGGAATCGCGTGTAAAAAAATATATTATATTGTCGCATAATATTTTTTTACTCTTCGATTTATGATTTAAATAATGTGCGCAATTCGATATTATATATACTATGACATTTTATTTTATATTGATTAATGCGAAAAATTACGAGGCTTTTTTTATCTTTGTTACTAAACCACAATGAATTGAGGAGATTATACAGTATAAAGTGCTCGAATTGAGGGAGGACGCAGGGAGATGAAGTATCTCAACTATTTTTTCAGAAATGTAAGCATACCTTTATTGTTTGTTTGAAGTGAAACGTATGAGACGCAGTGGAGGATACAAGGGGTGCCATGGTGATTACTCGCCTTTGGGCTGGTTTTCTTTATTCTGGTAATTCTTTATATTTTTTAATTCTTTATTTAATGTATACTTTTTTAATAAAATCTGCCTCTTTTAAACAACCCTAGGATCTAGCACTGCCTATTACGATTAAAACATGGTATATATTTTGAATTTTTATCGACATTTATTTTCATTAAAATTTGAACTTAAAGCGCTTACAAGAAAATTACTACATTACGTTGAACTTTTTTCATATAACCGAAAAATTTCCAGAATGATTTGAAAATTTGCCATGAACTCAACTGGATGGTGACAATCGCGGAAGTGCGGGATGCTTATGTTTCTATAAAATATTACGTGCGACACAGACAGAGACAAATAAAATCTAATTTAGTGGAAAGGCACAAAAGAAGGAAATATTCTTAAGGCAGCAGGGTCCGAAAACCGAGAGAAGCCGGACGCACAGAAGAACAGATGGGATACGTGGCGAGTTTTGTATTTAGTGGCGTAACGCGGCTTTAAAGGTCAAATTTCGCGGAAAAAGACTAAGAATTATTTCGCTATAAAAGAAAAACTGAAAGAAAAATGTACGTTTTTATAATATGCGAGTACCTACGATGTTAAATTATTATTATTAAAAACTGTATACGGTTGCGCTGCGTCGTTTTTACGACATTGGTGATACCTGATGCAGTTTTGTTGTATATTGTCTGTGTCTGCCGCAGAAGTGAGAACAAAAATAATTGCCCGTAAAACGGGTTGAACGGTTTTATGTTTTTTAACCCGATGAGCCCGAGAAGAAGCGTACAGTAGTATTGACCGTGTATTATACGTAGACGAACGAATACGAGTATAATAAAGTGTAATACATACGTATAGTTGGTATATAAAACCTAATGTTTTTTTTTAACGATGTGCACATTGTTTTTGTTTTATTTTTCACCGTGCAAGAATAATAATATATTTGCATATCCTACCGTCGTTGTAGTCGACCATTATTATTTATTATATTGGTATTGCTTTGAACTTGATACCACAATTCGTCGGATGCGGTGACCTAGGCCTACAAACGACGCGCTCGGCGAGTTCCAGTTTTTTTTTTTTCTTTTTTTTTTCAGAAACTCGCAAACTGGATATTATTATACCAACACTATCGACGGCGCAGCAGGTCGTGAGTATACTTAAAAAATACAAATAAAAACGCGCGATATTCACGTATATAACTAGGTACCTATATATAATTTACGATAAAACCGACCGAACGATTTTATGCAATAATATGTATTATTATATAGGCAATGTGTAAAATTGTGTAACACACTACTTGGCGAGTAGCGTCGTCAGCGACGAGCGATGAATCGAAACAAATAATATAAATTTAAAAAAAGAAAGTATACACATATTATATATTATCTTTTTATTTGTCGGTGATAATATTCATATTGTTATTATTATTGTTATCAAATACGTTTCAAAACAGTAGCTAAAATAAAATATATGTATACGTTATGTTTACAATGTATTGCCGACAGTCAGATATAAGATGAATAGATAATATAGTATTATTATGTATAGACAGGTATTCGACAGCAGTCTGCAACTTTCGTACGAACGCATTATTAATGTGCATCGCACGTGTCTGGGCACCTACTTTTTTGTCGGTTAATTTACAAAGAATTTTTTTAAGGTGGCGGGCGGGGTCGCACTCGGTCTTCCGAATTTCGTCCAATTCTCGGCGCCATTTGAAAACTATTATCCACCTTTTAAGTATACAGTAAACGTAATAAGGGCGAGGGAGAGGCAGACGATTCAACAACAATATGATTGATGGGGCAGAATTGTCGTGTGGACAAACGTCTACGGGAAAGCCCGTGACATACGATGTACATGCACCTACCTACGGGAATGTCGTTTGTAAAATGTACTGTTATGGCCGTGTTGTGCATACAGGCAGAGATAGTTAACCACAATCATAATATTATTATAATATCTATTTCGAACGACAACGATTATGTACACGTGGCGTTATGCAATTGTAGTTTTCAATGTTACTGGGTTATAGCAATTTTCGTGTTCAAACGTCTGCACAGTATACTCGTAATATTATCATGTATACCTGCTTATATCTGAAAGTTACCGTGCATTATGACGTAGAAGTATAATAAGAGAGAGAGACATTAAGAGCGAGCAAAAAAAAAAAAAATAATACCCGTCCGTATTTTTATTTAGCCGGTATATTGATGAATTCGATTCGAACGAACGTGTTTTTTTTTCGTTATAACATTATGCAATCCGCAGAAAAAAAAAAAAGCTATATACATACGAAATTTTGACTATACTATACCCGTACGGTTTTTAAAACCCGTGTAATTTAAATAGTATTTTTTTTTCCGACATCCAAACGTCCGTGTTATTATCTGTGTAAACTTCCCCATTAGCGTAAATCGTATGTATACGCCATTTCAAGGCCGGCAAAACAATCGGATTACCCGTCGGGTTTGGTTTTTTTTCTTTCAAAAAAAGGTTTCTGCACACGTAACTATGTAGAATGCATATTCGTTTCGGACAACCATGCGCGCGATCATGTTGAATTATGTATAATCCGTATTAATAATACTATATCGATTGGTGTGATCTCGTCGAAAAAAAAAAAAAAAAGAAAAAGAAAAAAAAGGGAACGTTCAGTGTAATTTTTGCTGTTACACGATACAGACACTATTATACATAGATACTACATAGATTCGAATTATATTATTAAACGCACATCTCGAATAAATTAATATTATATTATATTCCACGCGTTTTACATTTTAAATATGCGTGTTTTGGACAAGACGTGAAACTTTCACATTGTAATACTATATATACGGCATAAGCATAACCTATACTCTAAAAGATACAATTCCTTCTAAATTTTTTTTTTTTCCGGCGTACAATATAACGCGTTGTAGGTATAAATAAGATGTATAAACGGTGATTTAAATATTCGATTTTGTTTGAACGCGCTATTATCGTGTACGGTTTTCGATTATTCCGGACGGATGTCGTAAAGTGCACTTTTCAAAGTACCTATACACATTACACCTGTATTAAAAACCGCAAAAAAATATCACCGGTCTATTTATTTTTTAACGCTCGAAAATCAGTAGGAAATCGAACGGGGACGGTACTTTTTAGGAAAGTATTACGCTTGTATCTATTTCATAAATCGGAAATTTAAAAGAATTTTGCCGAAAATAATTTATGTTTGTTTCACACCGGTTATTGCCAATATTCTAACACGTTTCAACATCCGAAATCCGTGTACACACCTGAGGCGTAAAATGCCGTGCTTAGTAACGTTTATAACAGCTAGGACGCAGTAAAATTACAAACACCTAACTATCTAAATACAATAATATAATAATGATCAGAATGGTTGGATGAGGTCGTAGGAGGAGGATATAGGCGACGGTCATAGAACGGGAAAATGCAATTTTAAAATATCCATACTAACTTTTCATTCCATAATATGTTTTTAATACTTTTAAATAAAACCTAATTTAAATTATAATGTATTTACTGTCTAGTTTTGAAATTTTTTCAATAACCTTAGGCAAATAACTGTTATAATAATAGTGATGAATTGTGGTAGTCGGACGACCATTTTGAATCCGTTAGTTATGAATTATGATAAAGTAATGTCGAATTTTCAGCTGCTCAAAAATATTAATTTTTCGAAATAATATCTATACTAAAATAATCCGATCATCGAGTATTAATCGGTTTAATTGGATTTTTCTTCTCAAAAAGATTATTGATTATGAACGACAGTCATAATTTATTGTTTGTAGAATAAATCAAATAAATTTATTCTCGTGGTGTACTCATATTATTTATAGTAACTACCAATACAAATGTATGTGGTTAAATAATTTGGGAGGAAAAATGGGTTGCACGGAGAATTTTCCACGTTTTAGATCGTAAAAATAAGAAGGTTACAGGTTCTGGTGGAAAAAATAAATTTTTGATCGCATAGTTCACATTATTGTACCTACCTACTGTTTTTTTTCGCAGTTAAGAGAAAGCAATAAATTAGACTAGTTTTTTTTCTTCTAAATGATTTTGCGCGTTACGGCCACTAAAAGCGTACTGGTGTGTACCTTCGATTAAAAACGATTTTAGGTCGTCCGATGTAATATTGTCAATATGGTACCTACACATATATATATATATATATATAATAGAATGTTTCAAGCATTTTAAAGTATGACCGAAGTCGGGATATCCTCCTAGCTCTTTAAGTAGGTAGGTACCTATCTATATAACACACGAGTATACCTACACCGATTTGGGTCAAAACTAAACACACATAATAATATTCTACTTGATTGAGGTCAGCTGGCCATATAATATGATCGCGGTTACGAATCGCGGCGCACACGTCGTTCGTCGTGGTCGTCGTCGTCGTCGTCGTCGTTCTACCCTAAGGACTCACTATAATATTATATACGGATCGAGAGAGTGTTTATGTACTCCGGATAGGAGAATAATAAAAAAACGATTTTGTTCGTAGGTTAGGTTGTTTTATTTACCCGACAGCATAAATCACGTTGCTCGAAGAATATTATAATGTACAGTCGAGTACAATATGACAACGGCGATGACCTTCACCCTATTCGTATAAATATGTGTATAAACATATTTATAATAATATTACGATGTCATGTCTTCTGGACCAGCAAAAGACGTTATTTTAATATAGGCGCAGACAGGTGAATGTTGAAGAGTTACCGTATTTTACACACGACGACGAAACGATAATTACACGCACTTTTACTGCCGTACGTGTGCGGATAAAACTGAGTTTTTAGCGATGCCGTGAACCGAGTGCGATGTCAAATCGTTTGATCCGCCGACGTATCTGAGTGCGGATTAATTTTTTTTTTTCTGTTATTATCCTAAAATACTATACTATATTCGTTTGAGCGCGTTTCGTAAGCCTATTCGAGCGCGAGTACTGTTTTTTTTTTTTACTCTAAAATGTTCACGGGTCATTTGAAGGCGTTTTATTTCGAGTAGTACTATACGATACGACCGCAGGTGTTTCCGGGCTACTCCGCTTGGTACAAAAACCCATAACCTACCCGCTGGTGCGAACCTGTTACCGTTCGAGGAATTTTAAGTGTCCTAAACGTAAATAGCTAGAGCCCAGTCGTTGAAAACCCACGTTGCGTAAGTCACAGGAATCTGTTAATAATCCCGCATTATAATATTATGTTGTGTCTCGTCAATATATATAATTTTAAAATCGCGTTCAAATGGGCGGTGGAAATTGTTCATGTCCGATTTGCTGCAGTAGGTACCGGATATTGATAATATACGAACACGTGCCGTTTTTTCCGGAAACGGCCCGTTTGATATGCACGTCCCGTCGTAGATATACTCGTATAAAATTACACTGTTTCGCATCTCGGCGATAAAAAAACGCGCGAAAAAAAGACTTTTAAGAAACGACGTTGCGTCGCGAGTTTGTTGTCTCGAGAAAATCGACTTTTTTCTGTTTATTTATGATTCAACCGGTAATAGCCTGAATAAGACAGCTGGTGCCTGTAGCTCTGATAATACATGGTACACATCACACGCTTATGCGGCTGAACGTATATAATGTATTTATATATATATATATATACGTAATATGTCTTCATAAAGGTCAAGTTTACCGAAACGTAATACCCGATGATAGATGTGCGTGGGTGTAATAATATAATCAAGTATACATACACTGCACGTATTTCCAGGTGCTATACAAAGGACGACGCGAACAAATATCTACAAAATGTCGTAAAAAAAACCTAATAAAACAAATATACACAACGTTTTTACGTTTAAATTTGAAAAGCCCAAAATCGATTCTTTAACTTCCTCAAACCGCAAGCGGTTTTTTCTGTCTCCCGTCAATCAAGTCCTTATCAATACTTAGTCTACATCATCGATATTAGGGGTTGTTATGCGAAAAAAATTCGGACATTTTGCGCTTACGGTATCAATCTCAAATTCTATAAATCTTGAAATCCTTATAATTCCTAAATCGAGAAATAGTGTTTGTCCGTTAGAGTTTTAAACGATAAATCGATAAAGTACGGACATGATCGCGGCACGATGATGTCCTCGAGTTTTATACGCTTCATGTTATATACGCGCGTAAAGTAAACGTAAAATGAAAAAAAAAAAAAAAAAAAAAAACAAGATATACTACTATATATAATGTTATTGTTGTATACAAAACAACGACGATATAAGCCTCAAGTTGGTGATTTTTTTTTTTTATTTTTGCTCCACAATCGTCGTTGTATACCCGGCGTCGAACGAGTTTTCGCATGTTTGCGCAACACGATAATATAATATTACTATATTATTAGGTTGGTATATTATTATTGCGTGGTGCGTATACCCGGGAACGTATTCAAAAAGCCGACCGACACGAGTCGTCTTCGAAAAGTTATGTCATATTATGCGCGTGTTTAAAATACTACCCGCATTATTACAATAATATTATTATGTTATATGATAATAATCCGCAGCCGCGTGTTTATAATCTCTTTGAAGTAGGCAGGTACATTTTGTACACCTCATATACATATTATATTTATAATAGTAGGCACGACGCTTTTTAAGTAATTGCACAATAACGTGTACAGAGCGGTAAATTACGAATTAACGTAAGACCACTCACGTTATCTCGGAAAGTCTTCCTTTTTTTTTTTTTTTTTTTTAAATAATTTTTTAGAAAATTTAAGAAACAGTTCTTCTAAAACGTTACATGATCGTTTTTGTTTTCTTTTTGACACGTTTATTTTTATTGGGACGAAACCACTTTTGACTTTCAAATTGCGACCTATATTAATAATTCCATCCGTAGACGAAGTTTTAGGTTGAATACAATTTCGGCGTCGACATTTGTATTTATTTTTTTTACCATTTTGACGAGATATTCCAATATTTGAGTTTGTCATTTTGTCGATAGTGGGCAGTGGTGAAACGAACGTGGTTTTTCAGAATCGGGTTGATTCGCGATTTTATTCAATTTTTTTAAGATTCAGGGGTATTGGATAGGTCATAAGTTGCTTCTGGAATATTTTAGGTTCGTTTCACCACTAGCAGAGGGATAATGGTAATTTGTTTGGATTTTTTGTGTGACGTTTAAATAATAATCAACGTTTTGCCCGTAAAAAATAAAGGTGCGACATCTACAAATAACGGTAATGTACCATTTTGCTTGTTCCTTAAATATTCTAAACAAATACTTTTCGACATAGTGAGCGTTTTTCGTTACATCGATCACCCTGTACGGGCTGTGTGCATAGTACTTAGGCAATAATAATTAGTTTCTTCCATACGGCACATGGAGTTTAATACGTTTATAAAAACGTTCCCGTATATATACTTACAAGCGGCGTTGTTACTTATTAGAAGTACCTACCTATTATTTATCATTATTATACACTCGCACTCCGTGTTGACGCCATAACCTACATCAACGTACGTACCTCTACACCGTATAATATTATATAGTGTCGCGACTATTGTCTAACCTAAATGTTCTACACCGACGACGACGACGTGCCGTTTAAAAAACGCGTTTGAAAGTCAAAACTTGTTGAAAGAATAGGAGACGACGAGGATTAATTGTAGTGGGAGGAGAAGGCGCAGTAATGTCAATAATATTCGCGATGATATTATGCGTATATACAACGATCGCCAGCCGAGAGACGTATAATAGTAATTCGCACGATTTTTACTTGAAAATATTCGAAAATCGATTTAATTTCTCGACAGAGCAAAATATAATTTGACCTATATTATATGAGTATACGTTTTTTTTTTTTTTTGTATTAAAAACTTCGTACTTCATTTTTACTCTTAACTGCGACTTTTGTAATTATTAAACTCTTTAGACTACTACAAATAAAAGTTATCTAATTGTGCAGTAAAATTCTTTTCCGACAACTATTTATTCATTGTTATGCATAGATTTTTATCGAAATGTTCAGGAGTTTATGTGATAGATATACTTATTTATTCAAATAAATATACCTGATACATAAAAATCGACATTTTTAAATTTCTAGACAATTTTCTCTATAATAATTATGCTGCAATATATAAGAGCTTTCGTACCCTATATTTTACCCCATTTTCAATGTCTATATTCTATTCTCAATCCCAGTCCATCTCCATGCCACGTTTTTTTCCGCAACAATACGTTGTCTCTCGGCCTTTATTTATTTAACAATTATATCAAGATAGTTTCTGAGAAAAAACAATGTTTGAATCGCATTCAATAAAGAAATAATATTATATTAGTTATCAGTTGTTAAAATTTTCTAAAATGAAATATCGTCGTTAATATTTATGAGTTCTTTCGTATACACGAGCGATTCTTTTAAAATAATAATATTATAATTCAATAATAATTATGTATTCAATTTTTATTTTTTATATGAACCGGAAACCTGTTTTCGGTACTACCTATACTATAAATCCACAATTTTATTCAAATGTTTGAAACCGTTTACAATTATATACTTAGGTAATATACCGCGGTTTATTTTTGAGTACAATATGATATTAATTAACGAAAGCAACAGGTTCTTGTGATATTATTATTTATTGAATAATTCGAACTGAAACCGTAATTTTCGTTTTTTGATATTTTAATTACGTTTAGCCATATCCCGATTTGGTATTTGTGATTTACAGCAATATGGTAAAATAAACTCGTTAACAAAATTATTAAGTCAACATATTTTTCATTACACGCTCATCTTCGAAGTCAACTTATTTTATAAGACGTAACGCGTAACATACAAATAGTCTGTATTGTTCACGGGTAGAATAATGTTATAGGTGCACGATAATTAGGATGGTATATGATATGTAGTTTATGATACGTAATTTAGTTTATATACGGTAACGATGAATCATTGAAAACGAAAAAAATGATTTTGATCGACAAAGTGTTATAGTCGTGATTGTTGCCCTTGTCGTCAGTGTATCCCAGAAATGAACATAAATCAAACAACCAAAAAAGAACTCGGACGGGGGTGAACTGTAGAAAACCGCAATAAATGTAGCAAATAAAGTACCGCCCGGCAGAAATTCTGCACGTTCTTTAGGTACTGCGTGAAAAAATTGGAGCAATTGTCTAATCGCCATAGTGAAAAAAACAATTTTTTAATGGAAAAAGTATTGGGGATTTCGTACGATTTTTCAAATAAAACCATAAAACCAATAAATAAAACAATAAAACCATCGGGCGTTGAATCCGCATTTTTTAATAAGGTAATATGACAATGCATAATCCGAGAACTTTTACTGTCCGTAAAAATGTTTACCAAGAAAAAAAAACACATCTTTGTAAAACTAATAGTTTCTCCGAAGAGCTTCTTTTATTCAGAATCTAATATGTGTATATATATATAATAATATATATATTAATACGTTAAAAAAAAATAAAAAGGTTACTATAGCAAGCTTTCCGTCGGTAAATATATTTTATATACAAGAGGATAATAACTGATAATAACAGATTTGTGTTTGTATACGTGTGGGCAAATATAGTAGTTCCACTTTAAAGAATATAAACCGAATACGCACGGCGTAAAGTAGAAAGGTGAAGGACGGCCGAGAGAATATAATATACCTAGGTTGGGTGTAAAAAATGATTTTAACTCTTTTGATTAGGTACCTGCATAACAACAAGTGTGCCAATCGTTTGCTGAGCGTACGTTTTACCGATTATCCGGTAGAATGTGTATAATTCTTTTAGTTAATAAACTATAGGCTTAATACGGTTTTTTTTTTTTTTTAATCGTGTATTCGACGTTTAATTAATATTATGAAAAGTTTTTTTTACCACCTAATTTGCTACGACCGTAGTAACTTTTGTACCGGCGCGGTTTCTGATGTTTTCGCCCGTCCGCGTGAGAATTAACGTTTATTAAATAAATCACGTATACTATACGATTGCTTGCAATAATAGCGTGTACACTCCTATTCGTTGACCTCATGCGATGTGGATACGACAACACATTATAATAACATCGGACGAGCGGCGGCGATTCGCGTTTTTTCCCTCCACGTAGGAAAATGAAAGTGTGTGATTTTAAATAAATTATAATAAGGGGACCGCTGCCGTAAAACACTACCGCACTTCTAGTATTTTTCAAAACGGTATTCAAAATCGATAAACAAAAAATAACTACCCACGATAAGCACTCGGAAGTGCGGGTCCTATGTTTGGAGCGATTCATACAGATAAATTTTAAAACAAAAAATAAAAACGTCCCGGGAAAACTAAAAAAACGTTATTCCGACAAAAAAGTTTCAAGGTAAAAAAATAAAAAAATACCATAGTTTTCGCAGTAAACAACTTTTTTCGTTCTTTTGGATATCGAAACTAAAAAAAAAAGTCGATACTGTTTACGAGTAGGTTCGCTCTACTGTCTGTATAAATGGGTAGTTATGGGAAGGTGCGTAAAGTATACACACGGGCCATTCGGTTTACACTACGTGCAAAGATAGATATTCGCTAACGAAAAATCGATTCTGAGCGTAGTAGTCGACAGAAGTCGAAGAGCTAGGAGCTGCGGAAAATCTCGGTAAATGTTTCGAACGAAATGGGTATACCGCCGGGCGATAAATCCCGCGTATTTTGAGGCGAGTACCTACCACGCGGACAAATCGAACGTTTTTTCCGTTTTGGATCATTGGGGGGAGGGTGGGGGGGTTGGACCGCATTTAAGACCCGGTCGCGTACGGCGATAATTCGTTGTGCGAGTTCGTCCCGGCGGTGTAGACACTTGTCCGTTTTACTCGACTCGACTTTTCACTCAACAGCGCCCGCCCGCTAAAACAATCGTAATGACATTACATTGGGTATATACCGATTACCGAAATGGCGGTCACAAGGTACACACGCGCGTCGCGCACAAATACAAACAAACCGGACCGCCGAGTCGTCGCGCGAAAGTGGATCAAGGGCAACGGTACCGATATTATTATTATATTATTTATATGCTCCGATCGCGACTCATCGGTCGGCGGCTGCTGCGGGACACGTCGTCTGTTCCGTTCCGTTTGCGAACCGTTGCGACTGAAAATCGGTTTTTTACCTCCGGGGAGTTTACGCCGCGGACAAAAAAAAAAAAAAAAAAAAAAAAAAATAATTTCTCGTACGACGGTCCACGAAAAACGCCGTATACGGTGTTATCATTTCGGGACGGTCGAAATCTCCTTGCTTTTTGTGTCGCAGCCGTCCGTCCCGAAGACAGGTTTTAACGCGTATTATTGTATACGTTTATTGGGCGGTTTCTTTATCTCTTCCGGTATGTATTTTTTTTTTTTTTTCGGACGGACTTCCTTTATATTAATACGGTGTGCCGGTCAGCCGTACCGACGCCGCCGCCGCCCCGCCCGTCCCGACGAATTTCGTAATGTGGCACACTTTCTATTACTCGCGGTAAGACGGTTTTAATCGGTTTTTTTTTTTTTTTTTTATATACAGAACAGCAGTAAAGTATATATTATTATAGTGTTAACGCGAGACTTCGTCTACGCATCGATTATCGTCATCGTATCATTTTTATAATAATATGATAGTGCGGGAGCCGATATTGGATTTTTTCCCGTATCCGCGGCTACCGATACGAAACCGACACCCGATCCCATGTTTGAAATCGAAAACCTCGAGACGATAATGTTTCGTAAACCCGATTCGTTTATAAACGTTTTTTTTTTTTTTTTTTTTTTGATGATCCACGAGACATTTGAAAAAAAAAACCGAAATCCGATATCGAATAATAATTGTCGACCGACGACGATTAATACAATAATAGCCCGTGACCACTGAAATTCCGAGGTTTTGTCTTCTCATCGCGATATGACTAATTTCGAAATAACAGTGTTATAAACGCCGCAGACCGCAGATTTTAGGGGTTTTGTCGCGCGCGGGTTTTTTTATTTTTTTTTTTTTTACTACAATGACTGTGGCCGAGTGCTGGATTTTACGGGAATTTATTTCGATCTTGTGTGGCCCAACAGGCAATCACGAACAGGTATAAATATTTCGTCACAATATTCCGGCGGTAACGTTTTCTTTTTTTTTACTTTGTAAATCTTCGGTCGGTATCTATTATAATAATAAGGTTAAGCCGAAATATAATTTAGCGCGGACGACGTAATATTTCATTTTGTATAATCTTAATAAATTATTAGTCACGGGTTGAATAATAATGCCTGAACTATGCGGACCGGGGCTAAACACCTTTGAATGTAACGTTTTAAAAACCTATTAGTCCCCGGTATCGCCTCGCACAACAATGTGGTAAAAAAACGATTTCCCAACGACATTATATTATTAGTATTGTTTGTTCCGATATTCCGACACAACGTCGTACCTATATAATATTTCCTAACCGTTTGTATAGTCTGATAGTATTCCCGTCGAGTGCCGCGAGGATTAAAACATATTAGGTATAAGGTAGCGTTTTTTTTTTTTTTTTTTTTTTTTACCTGTAAGAGGTACAATAACAATATAAGGAGCTACGTGAGATAAAAAAAAATAACAGTACACATGTACGAAATCTCATCGAGAGGCCAGGTACTGTAACAGACGGTTTGAACATGAGTAAAAATGGGGACCGAGATCAAATAAAAAAAACATTTCAATGAAGGCGGGGGAAAGAGACCCAGAAAGCATTGGTCAAATTGAGCAAAGCCGGAAAAAAACGGGAAACATTGATCGGAAAGAATGTATTGATATTTTTAAAGAAATTACATTATTCCTTAGCACCTTTTCATATTTAACATATTTTTTTTACATCACAATAAAATTTCGAGCATCAAGAGATCTAGCAGCTCACTTCACGATCTGAAATGGAAATAAAAAAAAAAAAAAGGGGGACTTATATTCCAATAAAAATGTATATATTTAAGGAAACGGTACACATGCATTCGTTGTATCCGTCGTTAGTTCGTTATGGCAAACGCTCGACATGGGACATTTGCGTTTAGCAGAATCAATTTTGGGCTGTACATTTTAATATACAATTGATTGATCTACTATCAAACGTATCTGCGTGTTGTTCGTTGTTTGTTTTTTCGTTATTTTAATTTTAAAGCGAGACACGAGCGTGTGAAATATTACAATTATTTAAGAATAATCAGTTCTCTCTTGGAAATTAAAATATCGGACAAAATCAATAGCGTACAAACTCAGCTAATGTTCTTACCTTTAAGTCTGATGATAGATATAAATTCACTACATCATTGAAATTAAAAGCGTACAATTGGTTCTGCTGAATGCAAATTTCCCATGTGGTACGTTCTCAAGACATAAAAAATTAATATGCATGCGTATAGCATCCCCTTGAAAGCGATTAAAAGCGATTATTATATGACGTTCCCTTGAAATGCGGTGCTTGGGACCCCTCTGGTCCTCCTAACTTCGTCCCTGGAATGCCGTCGGGGCAAGTTTTAAGCTTGTACAGAGAATGACGTTTTATACGGTGCAGGGCGAGAGATTCGTTGAATACCATGCGTTTTTTTAAACCCTCTTCTCTTTTTCTTTTTTTTTGAGCGGGATAATAATATGTCCCTCGCGGTCTCGTTACGTGGTCTCTTTTATTTCGTTTTTTTCCCTCCTTTTGGGAGTTACACCGCGACGTCTTAATGATGTGTTACAGGGTTTTTGGAACTCGGCCATACCTATAATACGAGTATATATATATATATATATATATACGCAACGATATTTTATTCTGGAAGTCGTCCATACGTGCGCGAGGTTTCCGTTAATGTATTTTATTTTTATGAACGAATTTCGGTATACTATTAATGCTGGTAATATGTTGTATTTTTGTGAAAAAAGAAAAAAGAATAATAATAATAATAATAATAATTTCGAAAATCGTAAACCTATTTCGGTCTCGGACGTTTTATACGTTTTATCGCGTTTAAGTGCATTGCTGCAATATTATTATTACGCGCCTCGGCATTAGGTATAAATCATTTCAAAAATAAATGGGCTATTTTATAACATACGTGTACCTACGCTTTAAGTTATAAATATATATGTATAAAAAATAATAACGAAACCTATAAGCGGGGGGAAAAAAAATATTTCATAATTAAAAAAAAAAAACTATTCGATTCCGTTAAACTATTTTCCGTCAGTGTAATACCTATGCTATCGTGTTATTGACAGCGTAATATATAGGTAGTAGTTGGTTTTTTTTTTTTTAACATTATATTATTGCGTGGGTTTTGTTTTTATTTTTTAGCGTAATAAACGATAGTAATGAGTATTATGTAATTTATGTAACAAGTTTTTCGAAAATAATATTAAGTTGCAGTTTGAAATATCAAAACCGTCATAATAATGCACCTTATTGTAATACGATGCGATCCGCCCAACACAATACTTAGCTGTAGTTCGTTTGAACGCGAACATTTCTCGTTTTTGTGGTTAATGACAAACGCGCGATGATGAGTACCTAGTGTATAGGTACCTAGTAGGTCGATGTACTCTAATTTTTCGATGTATATTATATTATATTTTTTGCTTTTGAAGAGCGGATGATAGATGAGGGTTTTTTTTTTTTTTGCTAATTTTATGACTGCGAAAAAAAAAACCTAAAATTATACATACCGGCCGACACTCGGTTAATTTCACAGCGCAACGACCTGTTGCAGAAGTACGAGAAAAAAAAACACGATGCCATACTACGACACTGTATGACCAATTACGAAAATATTTAACGGTCGAAAGTAAAATTAATAATATTTTAATACAGTTAACGAATAGTCGAATACCTATATCGTCAAAACAAAATTTGCTTTCGTTTCGTTCACGTTCGTTTTGTGAAATATTCGCGTTCGCTATACCTCGTGTTCAAGGATTTACACGCGTACCCGTTAAATACGCATACTGCAGAATTTCTCGCGGATATTTATCAATAACACTCGTAATATTATTGTATAGTTTCCTCGTTGTACGTGTCACAATTGATTGGTTAAAAAAAAAAAAATACTCAACTGTACGAATTCCACATTATTATAGTGCACCGGTGACGTTAAATAATTATCGACCAGAGGACGCCACACCCGCATTGTCTACCGGCCGTACTACAACAGTCGACCATGGCGAAATAACGTTACGCGTAGAAAATCGTGGCGTTTAGTTTGACATTTTAGTTTGGAATCGCAACATTTAAAGCCGAGAATATTTCCGAGGGCGGTATACGAGTTGCGGTTTTTCTAAACCATCGTCAAACGAAAAAGTCACAGCCGTTTTAGTGTTATTCTATTTGTCGAATTCTCCCCCCCCCTCCTCCGAAAATAGATACTGTTGCATTGCATACACATTGTTTATATTTTATCCGTTACTTTTGGAAACTCCAAGCGGTTCCCTCTGGGCCAAATGATCTTAAAAGCTTATATCACAGTTAGGCTGACGTTGCTGTGGCCCTTATGGAGGAGGTTGTTTTTTAAATTTTAAACACCCCTATGCACAAACTCCCAAATCAATCCTGGGGTGATGAAATTGTCGTCAGTATCAATAAGATGTGCCTTTTGTGGGTTTAAATTTTCAACCCCTATCCTTACCATTTTTATAATCGAACTTCACTACATTTTTTTTGTTTTTTCGAAAATACATAATATCATTTATTCATTGTATGTAGTATAGTATCTTATATATAGTTTCCGGGTATTTTTTTTATAAAGACTATTTCCCTAATACAAAAATTCAGGTAGCGGAAAGTTTCGGTGACGGAAGTGACTCTACTCCTTACGGTTGTAAGGTTGTTTGTCTTTCTTATGCTGGGTTGCCACGGATTTTTAATGAAAAATTAAAAACTGTTGCAATGATTCAATTGTATCTAACGCGTAGCGAATTATTGAATCGTAACGTTGTTGAATTGATTTCGGTTCTGTAAAGTTTTGCCGAGCTGTTTGAAAAGTATGTGATCATAACCACATTATGGATACGTGCGATGATTCCTGTTCGGATAATGAAACACTTTCGTGCGACGCGATCTGTTCACTAACTGTAATTTTGCAGAACCGATATAGATTATCAAACCTGCAACCGTTTACAGTACTGTTTACGTGCAACACGTTATTAATATTATTATTATAATAATTTTATAGTGGCGAATAAAACGAACCAGTCGGTCGAGAAAACGTGTTTATATTGTGTGACGTTATTTTTTTTTTTGAAATTTTTTTCGTGAAAATTCTTTACTTACGCCACCGCATCGGGTGTACTATATAATATTCTCTATTACTGTATTATTTTTATTGTCGAGCAAACTATTATATCGCAGTATAAAAACGACGTTTGTTTCCGCGCGGAGGTATGGGTTTATAACTGCAAAACTGTACACCTTTTACACACCGTTTCCTGTGTCGGGTATATATATATATATATATATACACACTTAACGCATCGTTGGTCGTGGTCGAATAAGTGTCATATTGAAACTTATTATTATTATTTCGTGTTTAGAACAGTATATATTTGCAGTTTTGCTGCCAGCAGTGGCGGCGGCGGCGGCGGCGGCGCGGTCGTGTAGCAGCAGTTCAAAATCAAGAGCAACGAACTCTGTCATTTTAAAAAAAAAATAATAATAATAATAAAAACAAAAAAAAATGTATAAATCGCGTACCCAAACACTAAATATAATCGTAATAATAATAATAATAATATCGTCCGTCGTCAGTCCGCCGCTGCAAGGCGGGAAAAAAAGGCGGGTTTTTTATTTATATTATACGAACGATAAAAAACAAAAAATTACGTCGATGTGGTGTACATAACAATATTGCAGTTTGTTTCATATGTAATCGTCGTCGAAAAATATGAAATAATAATATTTTCGTAGACTACCGCCGATGTCGAAAAATGCAGTTAGCGTGGACTGAACTGTATAATATATAGACAGGGACTAAACATATTTAATTGTTGAAATGCAGTCACGATGTCGAATGATAATAATATTTTTTATGCGTACATTACGTCGTGTTAGTGTGTACATTAGTCGTACGATTATATTTTTTTTTTTTAGATTTAAATAAGCGAAGCGAACAGTACATTTACTGTGAAGTGTTTTTTTGTGTGTGTGTGTGTCTTTAATAAACTTTATATCTGAATCTTACTTCAATCAAAAACATTATAGGGACTTTTCTGTATCATTCTTGATCTAGTCGATGCATTCGGGAGATCATTTTTTGATTTCCCTTGTAGTTTTCTTAATAAATTGCAAAACCCGGTAATTATGCGTACAATGTTTGTTGAGTAATTCTGGGTTACTTGTGCAACAAGGGAAAAAATACGATCGGTAATACTCTCAGAATCGTTTTCCGTAGGCAATATAGTTAATCGCTGAGTGCAGATATAAATTGAATTACCCTATTTGAACTTCCTTTCCAAACAATTGCAATCCCATCGGCCATGTCGGCTTTTTTTTAGATTCTAAAATCGTAGTCAAGAAGCTATAACTTACTAATAACGCACGTTTTCGGTTGGTGGTAATACTCCTAACCAACGTCGTATATTTGAAGTTACGAATTTCCCGGATCTATTCGAAATAAATGATCCGTATCGATTTCCAATAGTTCTCCGATTTGATTTTCGTGTGTTTTCCGGCGTGCGTTTACAAGGGAAATAAACACGGCCGATCGCTATCGCCTTATCGTTTTATGCCGAAAATAGTGTCTCAGAATAGTTTTTCGATCGCAGTCGTTTACCCAATATATGCCAGTAGTATTAATATGCATATGCGTTCCAAATTTTCTACACATCATTGGCAACAGTATACGGCCTACCCGCGGTGCGAATATTCATACTGTCGAAAAATGTTAACGGACCGGACTGAATACACCGCTCGTGTATTATTATTATGTAGATGATGGGGACTGTTGCAGATGTTTAATTGTTGCAGCGCGCCGGTGACAACAATGTAGTCACGACGCCGAAGGATGATAATAATAATAATATTTTTTTATTTATGTGTCGTATATTATGATAATAATGTGTGTGTGTGTGTGTGTGTGTGTGTGTGTGCATTCGTTAGTACGGATCTTTTTTTTTCCGTTCTTCTTTTTACACGATCACGAACTCTTGTAAAGCGGCGCGCGGTCGCGGTTGCATGACGAAAAATCGCCCGCTCGCGAGTATATATACACGACCGAAATACAAATCGCCAAAAAATCCGCCTCAGAACGCAATTGTGATTTCGTATTATGCGCGCGGATAAAAAAAAAAAAATAAAAAAATAAAAAAAAATAATGACATAATAATGTTCTTTGTATATACGATCGCCTGACGTTGTTGTTGTACATCACGTGGCCGTATACATAATATAATAATAATAATAATAATGATAATAATATTTTATACACTCGGGAGATTCCTTAATACACTCGCGGTTTACTATAATATATTGTAATATTCTATCTGTTCGGCACGAGTTGATAAACGGGAGGGGAAGGGAAAGGGGTGGGGGACAAATGCAGTTTACACTTTTTCTCGCGGCACGACCGGTAAAACGCGGATGGGCAAACGCGCAGGACGACGGTTAAAAAAATAAAATTACGGGTAAAATATTTGAGACCTGGACGCGAAATAATTAACAAAATATTATTTGAGGTGCCGACACGTTTGAAAATCTTTTTTTTAGTCGGTTGGTCGGGTTTATGCTTAAACAAACATTGGCACACAGGATTCAAGACATTAGCGTGTTGTTTTTTTGTTAATTTCATAATATAATTGTCTTTGATTATTGATTTTCCGGTTCAAATTTGGACTTGGATTTTAGACCCGGGATTCTTCCCGGTGGCGTCCCGACAGGAAATCTGTGAAATTCCAATGTCAAATTTCACATTCCGAAAATCCGAACATTAGATTTTTACAACGCCGGTTTCCGCGTTTCCTATCGGGAAAACGTGTTTCTTTTCCTTTCTAATACGTCATAATACACAATATCTCTGTAAAATACGTCAAAATCATGTTTTCGATAGGTACCGTATTTTTTCTCGATTTTTTTTAAATTTATTTTCGGATAACTGTACAAAATATGTCTTATGCGTTTGGCGTATTATCGAAAACACTTTCAGTTGTACACACATAGTGAACATCCCTGTTAGATATCGCAGTCGTCGTCAGTTTTACGAAAAGTGAGTCATTTTTTTCGGATTACTCGAATGTCCCAAGTGCCGGAAAACCCGAAGTTCTACGGCCCGAACGATTTTATTATTGCGTTTTGACGGCACTGAATACAACTGCAATTTTCACTATCCATTTTAAACAATTGGAATAATTTGGAAAAAAAAAATGTAATTCGGTGAATTTTATCTGATAACAATGTTTAACAATGAATACTCGCAGAGACCGATTGGTTGTCTGGGATCACGTCGACGAAAAACCACCCGTTTGTTTTACTTGTTTTTGAATAAAAAATGTGTGGACCTAAGTTCGTCGAATAAAAAAGAGACAGTGAATGTATTATTTTACGGTAGCGACGTCAACCATGGTCAGTTTGGTACGTTTTTTTTTTTTTTAACTTTTATTATAATGCAATTTTATCTGCTGGCGCGATTAATGGCCGGAAAATACAACTCCCTATGTATATAACATAATACTTATAATAACTCTGTAATTATGACGATATTGCAGAAAACACTATGTACAATTAAACGGTTAACGCGTTTTTCAAATTTTATTTTATATAAGTAATTTTTTTCGTAGAGCGATTTTTTGTTATTTCATCGCCGTTTTTTCCCCCATTCTATCATATTATCCTTTTTGTAAAATAACAATTATAATTTCAAATGTCTATATTATAAATAGTTCAAAATTCCCAGAATGTTTTGAAATGTTATCGCGTAACCAATTTATGCATAAAGCGCTAAAACTAGCTAAAAAAAGTATTCGGTTAATACTGCAAGTCTTTACGATTATTTTTAACTGAATTCCGAAAAAAATTAACGAAAACGAAAATTACGGAAACCGTTATTACGTATTTTTTCCCGGTTATCCTCCATTATTAATGAATGGTTACAAATAAAAAACGAAAATCGACCTCCCCAATACACCAAATTAGACGAAAATCGTCGCTAGAAACCTGTAGCTGTTGATGACCGGAGCAACATGTCCGATAGAAAAGTTGTTCAGGCTGTTGTAGGAGGGAAGTTCAAAGGGAGAATATGTATACATGTATAGTGTAATCTAACCATTTCGACCATCGCTATTGAAAAACGATTCTGAGCACAGTATTATTCGTATTTTTTTCCCTCATTGCCTCGTTACCCGGAAATCGACACAAATTATACAATAAACTGTCAGTTTTTCCCGATTGTTTAGAAAAATCAAAAAATTACATTAATAGTGCTATAAGTGTAAGTTTTCGCGTAGGATTTTCGGTTCGAAAAGGATGTCCGGTATAAAAGTGGCCTGCGGACACGGAAACAAAAGAATCCTAGTAAAACCCACGCGTCTCGCTCAGAATCTAAAAACGCGCGTCGTACTTTGACTGAAAATGTATTTGCTTACATACGTGGACGGTTTATAATATTATAACACGGTGTATTTCAACGTACGGGTAGGTACGGCTGCGCGCGCCTGGTGTTTCGCCAATTATTCTCGTTTTATATCAATTTTACGACGTTCTATAAATTAATGTCGTAATTGTTTTTTTCGTAAACAATTTTTGGCAATCATTAATATACGATAATAATTATTCCGCAGCTGCAACAACTCCGTTTTTACCAGTCGATAATACGCACGTTTTGTACACTGTCTTACTACACACTCGCCCGCAGCAGACATACCAGCGGTTTTCGGTTTTTTTTTTTTTTTTTTTTCTTCATGCGTCTGTAATAATGTATCGACAATTTGTATACACATTTTACAAGACCGTAAATGAATTTAAAAATAAAGAGGCTCTGTTCGAAAACTCGTACGTACGTCCGAAAAAAACATTTCTATACGCACGGAGTACATTATCCGATATCGTATTATTAAATATTATGTTACCGAGTTATTGTTGCCGCATACGAAATAATAATAACCGATACATAATATCATTGTTGTTATCAATGTTATTATAATATTATTGTACGGAAACAAGGGTCGGGTGGAAACATAAACCAATATATTCGTTATCGGAGGTTTTTTCATTTTCTTTCTTTTTTTTTTTTTTTTTTTTCAAAACAAACATTTGAACCGATACCGTATAAAACGAAATTAAAATAATAATATCGCATCACGAGACGCATGCGCGTTATTTGTTTATGTCGAAGAGGTTGATGGCCACGTTACCGTGGTCTTTTGTCATCGCGTATCTCATATTATTCATGCTATTATCGGTTAGTGTAATTGACATCGTTATAACCACCAACTTGATAACCGAGTATCGGTACAAATGCATAATGATTTTTAATCAACGTCGATAATATTGTGTGATACCGGTTTCATTGATTTATAATGTGGACTACGCAGGGTTTCGTATCTGGTAGCGTTATGTATGTCGGACTCTGGTCGGTGAATAGTTGTGGAAACGATTATTTTTTCGCTGCTTGTTGCCCGCTCCGTTCACGACTGTTAATAATAATATGTAATGTTCGAAACCCGCCGGTTGTCCGACGACGAAAAACGGCCGGAAGAAAAAAATAATAATGAGGAACCGCGCGTGTGTTGTTGTCGCGCGTAATATACGTACACGGTTATACAACGCGAATATTAATATCGTCCACGCCTATAACAAAATATTATATCGTAACACAGTCGTGTGATGAATGAAATCAGGCGCGGATCCGGAGCAAAGATCCGAGGAAGGAGGGGTAGGGCAACGGTTTTTTTTACCGCACAAATTACAATTGACAATGTATAATACGTAATATATGTTATAACATACGTATTATCTGTGATTGGCATACAGTAATATCAGGATCTATAGAGTTATAAAAAAAAAAAAAAAAAAAACCCGCCCCGGCGCCAATGGGGTTGGGGGGGGGGGAGCGGGGCCGGGCCCCTATGCCCCCCTCCCCCGAATCAGTCCCTTGACGAAAACGCGCGTTTACGCCGTCCACCCGATTGTGATTTTGTTTTTTGTTCTTTTCGGGAGCTCCCGCCCGCTCTCGGGGTAACGGTCGGCCGCGGACGGCGGACGGCATTGCCCGCGCGATAGCTAAACGATTTTACAGTTATCGTCGTCGACGGCGATTTTCGAACACGCGCACCGCGTTACAGGTACGTACAAGTCGGCGACATGAGTCATCTTATCGGTCGAACGTGAGTCGCGTCCGAGGGGGGGGGGTTGTGAGGGGGGACAATAACGTACGTCGTGTAATTCATAACAATATTGTGCATTAGCGATTCAGCGCGTGGACTTGCGGATTACGAAAATATCGTGAACGCAATGTTATCGTCCCGGAAAGGAGATGGACGCGACGACCGATTCGAGTGTAACCGCCGCGTATGCCTACAGCACGACGGACCGTCGACTCCTATTATCATAATTTTTTTTTTTTTTTTTTTTATTGTACGCACGGACAGGTGTGTCGTCCGTCTCGGCGGCATTCGATAAGCGTCGGATCGGTGAGGGAGGGGTGGGAGAGGGGCAGGAGAGGAGAGGGTTGATTGTACGACTGCGATTCGTAAACGGGTATTTGTTGACGCCGCCGCCGCCACCGGCGTAAAAATGTGCGCCGCGTCCTTTTTGGTTTCCGCGATGTCTTATCGGGTTTTTTTTTTTTTTTATACTGATAACGCGATAAACTTTTAATAATAATAATAATAAACTTATTATTTTATTATTTTTTTTATCGGTTCGCATCTCGGAAATCGCAATGTCGTTCGCGCCGCAAGGTAAACAACAACAATAATAACAATAATAAACAATAATAACATAACGCGGTGGAAACAAATAATTAGTCTGACGATGCATGCGTGCGCGAAATTTACGCCCCTGCGTGAAATCCTTAACTGCTTCGGAAATTATTTTTTTCAAATATAACTATGACTACCCGTTTTTCAATTTTTACTATTTATTTATAATATATTTTATTCGTTTTACTGATTAACGAGGAATATTATAGTTTTTGAAATCAAATAACTAAAAAACAGTCAACAAAAATATCGAAAATCGTTTTCGTCTAGGTAGGTATGTAAAACCAAAACGATACAATTCATTTTTACTACAGTAGACGTTTGGTTTTTTACGTGACATAATATCAAAAAACGAACCTTATCGATTTTATAAATCTTCAGTCTTATTTTTGGCACTACATATTATATATCGGTTCGTTCGACGTTGACGTACTGTCGAAAACTCTTCCGTAGGTACACAGTGGCGTATTTAAAGAAATATGTTAGGGATATCTCTCCCTTTAACATTTGTTTTTAGTATCTATTATTTATATGACTAAGTATCTATTTTTTAAATTCAAATTTCTTTATTTTTCAGTTGAAAACGCGTCGGCATTGACCTGAACGCCGGTAATGAAATAGTTTTAAATGAATTATGTCGCCATTTTGGTCTAATTATGGAAATTTTTATCGGCGAAATTGTCCACGGCCATTGTAACCGACCACCCGTATTTACCTACCCGCATTGCGGCCTGATATGGTCTGTAAATACGCCACCGGAATAACGTTTGTCTCTATCGCTCTTTTTATCTCTGTCTCTATATCTAGCTCTTTTTATCTCAGTTTCTCTCTGTATCTATTTCTCTCCGCGTAATATTATCGTAAATTTAGTATTTGCCCCTCCCCCCTCGCCCCCGTGTGAGTGATGGTTGCGGAGCAAGGTCGGTACAATGCGTTCCGTCCGGCATTTCGTCAAAAGCCACCCGTCGAGCGATCTCAATAATTAACGTCGTCGGTTCCATTGTGCCGCGCGTTTATATTCCAATTTGTTTTTTTCTTTCGTTTTCAATACGCGCACGCCACAGCCGATAATATGCAAACGCTTTAAAAAAAAAATGATTATATTATTCTTTTTAATACCCGTATTTTCTCGTACGCCGATCGCCGCCGACCGCGTTATAATACAATACTATTATTGCCGTTGATTTATACCTGTATATTCTTTTTTTTTTTTTTTTTGTTTCGATTTTGCCACCCGGCATTTAAAACTTTTACCGGCGGCGCTATAATCATAATATTACGATGCCTATCTTCTATCTTTCTACATATATTTATATAATAATAGCTAGGTATATATTATAATATACGAATGGCATCGCGCTCTGGAATGCGATTGTTTTTTTTTTTTGCTGTTTTTTTTTTTTGTTGTTCTCCTTTCGTATTGAATCTTCTTTTGTATACCCGTGCGTAATAATATACGCGCGATCAAAACAACCGAAATACAATATTATTTACCTCCGAGTAGATCATCGGGTACGGGATATAGGAGAGAAAAAAAAAGTCGCTTCCTATGCTATAATATATACCCTACGACGACGACTATGGATTTCCGGTTACAAAATATATCCTTGGTCCCGGGAAAGAAGAGCTTAGGCCAGCGGTTTCCAAAGTGTGTTCGGGTCGCAGCGTCAACACGTGGACCGTTTTCTAGTCTAAAAATAAAATTGAAATCCAAATGACACGGCAACAGAAACAGCGACGTTAATAATATACGATTACGGTCTTTTTTTGATTTTTTTCCCAGGAGAAAAACTTTCTCTATTTAAAATTGCTTCAAACTAATGATGTTTTTTCTAAAAATAAGGATTTCGTACTTCAAATGATTTTCCCCCGGCGATATTTGGAAAAAGACTTTCTAGATTTCCAGAAGATTTTTCTATAAACTTTTAAAATATAAAAAAAAAAAACTTATAACAATATTGTCGATCGGTTTTATAATGTGTGTTGATTTCTGGGATTTCTCGGCTGTAAAATGAGAAAAACACGATTAATACTACTCCGTTCAGAATCGTTTTTCGGTTTAAATGATTTGTAAAGACGCCCTCAGAAAATCGTTTTGTTACAGAAAGGGCTATGCGAATCGAAAAAGTTTAGGAGGCACTGGCTTAAGTAAATTTTGTACGGTTCACAAGCAAATACGAGCAAATTAAATGTCGAAAATAGCTAAATGGCTAAATGACCTAACCTAAATATGTCGTCCTGTATAAACGACTCAAGTGACATAATTATATTGACTTATGCCATTTTTGTCAAACAAAAAGTATAGGGTCTTAATCTATTTAAATGTTCAACGTAAATTATTATGTTATAGAATATATGGTACATAATTTAATAGATTTATGTCATTATTAGACCACAAACAAAAAGGAGGAAAATAACAAAACACGATTAAAAAATAATTATAATAAAAAAATTAACGCCATTAATGTACTTGTACACTTCTTCTCGGGAACTAAAGATACGCTCGTTTTTAAATAATATTTTATACTCCATTTCCCTTGAGTTCGTTTATCGTCGTCAAATCACATCGTGCGTGCGTGCGTTTATTACAGTGTACTCAGAAAACAATCGTTTTTCGATTCGATATTGTGTTATGTATCTTTTTAAATTCGAGTATCGCCTGTGCACAAAAAACACGCGTCCGATTATGATTATTGTTTTATGTTTCAATCTCGAATACGTGATCATACGAAAACATGCACCGGCTGTAGATGTGTCCAAAAAAAGTTTTTGGTTATTATATCGTAGTACTGAATTCACGAGTGGTATATAATGTAGTTACACTACGAAAAATCTTTAAAAAACTTTGTTTTACTTACACTTTTATTTTTCTTTTATTTTATTCATCTGATTTTTGTAAAAAGGACCACGCGGTAATTTTACAGAGTAGAGGATACTCAACGGAAAAAAACTTTTCGGTATGACGTTTTGAAAACCGAAAAAAAATTCCGAATAAACGAAGTGACTTTTTAAATGCGCGCGTATACAAATATTGCGCAAGTAAATTTAAACTCTGCATAGCTCATCGAGACGATAGCAGTCCGAGTTTTAAAACCATAATAATAATAATAATTTTTGTTTCAAAGCAAATATTGAATCTATCGGGGTTGTTTTTTTTTTTTTTTATTGTCCTTATAAATACTTGCTAGTCTGTATAAATAAAAAAAAAAAAGCTCTGTGACGACAGTGTATAATTTATGCGAAAAAAATTAAACCATTAAACGCGGATTGTTTAGTTTATTCGAGAATAGAGTAAAATTCGACGAGTCGGGTGAAAAAAATAACGGCCGTCGAATGTTACTATTGTTTTGTATAAAATTAACAAACTGAATAAACTACGATTTTTCAAAAACGCATTCGTAAAAAATGCGTTCTCGGGAAAACGCTGTTTCGTGCTGTTTATAAGCGAAAATAGTTTTATGGTATAAACCTCGAAACGTAACCGAGTGGACGGCGAGAAATGTCGCGCTTTTAGTTTTGATAATTTTCTTTATAAAACGCAATTTTTTTCGTTTCTAGTTAATATTATACGTGTTTTATAACTTATCAGCGCGCACATTATGCTCTGTGCTTAGCACAGATATAGCAATATATGATACGCATTATGGACGCATACTAGTCGCCTTCCGAGGTCAGAAAGGTCGATAATTTGAATACGAATTGCCTCCCGGCGTACCCTAAACTTGATCGTAAACGAAAACGGTCTAAGTACTAGTCGCCTCCATGCAATATACATGTAATGAATGTATAAACGATTCAAAAATGTTCTAACAGCGTGCATAATTATGCAGATTTGTTTAAATCTTTTTTTTTTTTATTATGAAGTAATTATATTATGTTGATCGTTACTTATTAATAATAACCTATTAGCCAGCATTGGATTTTGGTTTTAAAATTAATTCACACCGAGACTGTAATTATTTTAATACAAAGTTCAAGTAAAACACACGCACGGTTATAAATTCAAAACAAATTCGATTACATTAATACTCAAATGAAAAAAGTCGAATGAAAATAAAATAAAAAAATGTAAAGTAGGTGTATACATAGAAATATCGGCTAGTATATGTTAACCTAAGCGGCAGCGTTGTTAAACAAATAATTTTAATGATAATATATTTTCATTCAAAACGCATTACCATATCGTGTTTTTTTTTATCGACCAATTGTATATTATTACTTTTAATAAAATCATACAAATATTATTATTCGATTATGTTTGGTTTACAAACCACTGCTATATTCCATACGCGAGGCGATTTTAGCAGCGGTGCACATTTTCGGGAGGCGACTCCCGTGTAGTTGTGAACTACCCAATCGTCGGTGGCTGTTTATAATACAGTAACATTTTTTTTTTTATTCACGATAAGGACGGCAGGCGACTCGTGTGCACCGCGCACATTATTGTACGCCTATACGTACAGCAAGACGGTTGACCTTTATTATGTTGTGCATTTCGCAGTAACGCAATAATAACGTACCGGCATCATTTACAGTCGTCTAAATGTAGTTTTATTGTCGCCTCTAAATATCGTGTTGGGAGAAAAAATAAAAATACCGACTTGACGGTGGGCCCCTTTCGATCGACCGAACACCGACCTCCCGGGGCGCGCGTATTCTTCTAGAACCGCACCACCTAACCGACAGACTGCGGGTCACATCTTCGCCGCAGCGCGTACGTCGCGCGGTATTATATTATCATGGTGGCCGCGTACGGTAATATTATTGCGCCTCGGAACGTTATTATTATTTGTACAGGTATATTTTTCTTCTTCTGTGCGCGTCGCGTTTATTGAATGTTCGCGGCGGCCGCGCTCGGTGGTCGGAATCGAATCGATTCGAAAAAAAAAAAAAAAAACTCGTTTGTCTTTATACGAGCGCGTACGCGATTTTTTTTTCCTTCCTTCCTTCCTTCCTTCCTATATAATAACAACCGCGCGATTTGGATCAATCCGTGTTACGCAGTAGGCAGGCACCCAGGGGCATCGTACGTATCTAGTTATAATAATAATATTACGAACTGCAAATAAATTGGGTCATATTTTTTTTTTTTTTTCTTCTGAATAATATCTGCATTTTTATTTTTTAGAAATTGCGAACCATACTTTCTAAAATTTTTTTTTTTTTTTCGAATCCATTTTCGTTAGTGTAAGTAGTTTATGGTATTTCGCAACATTCGTCCGCGTTCGAGAAACTCGATTAATGCCGTTCAATAAAGTAATTATTTTATTTATTGAAATTTCGTGATAAATTAACAATAACAGTTGTTCGCGTGCCTTCTTTTTATTGTATCGATCGCGAACAATATTATTGTACGGCGTTAAGTAACAATAACAATAATGCGTTTTATATCATTTAAAAATGTAATAATACAAAATCAAACGACCCCGCGTTCCCAGTCGATATTACTTCGAATAATCGTACTTACCACAGTGTTAATATAGGTTGTAATTTACAATATTATCGCATCATATTGTACGGCAGTTTTCGGCAACGAAGGCAGACAATTATAATACGCTCTGTATTATAATTCAAGACGTTTTTACCGGACGGCATTGCACGCATAAGGTAGTCGTTTTGAGTTTAAATTTGCCCTTCCCCCCCCCTTCCCTTCCCGGTCATAATTATCGGACACGCCGCTGCTAGGTGTCGATTGATTTTCACGGCCCACCAGCAGACGAACCCGTATTTTTCTCTTTTTCAACCTTTATATCGGTTCGGTGATCTCAAACGTTCCTCTGTCCGGTCAATTCACTTACAGAAACGACGCGGCAGTTTCCCCTTGTTATTTCTGCGACGCAGCCGACGTTTATAAATTGTTGTTCTCGCGCTGCGCCATCATCTCAAACCCTTACACATTGCCGTTAGGTCAGATGCCGGAAATCGTCAACAGCCGCCGTCCTGTTCCAAACCGGATAGGGGTAAACAAGCGCGGGGCCAAAACATAGGTACTTGGTTATATAGTTTGTATCGGTTACCCAACGCTATAAAGTTAAAATTGCCGAGTATTCGTTGATTATATATACGCGAGCGATGTGCGTGTAAAAATGCCGGGGCGATCGAAAATATATATAAAAAAAAAAAAAACCGTATTTTCTCGATATATTTCCATTTTAAATGAATAACAAACCGCGACACATCCGTCAACCGCCGGAAGCAGCGGCGCGAACATGACGGGACCGGAGTAATAACAATGTGTTAATAATAAAATTCCGAGTTTCTCAGAAATTTGAGATATTTTCTTTTACGGATTCCGCGTAATAAGCATAGTTTTCATTGCGGTTTCAGAAGTTTACTTGTAAGTTTGAATACGTGTACGTCGCGCACAGTGACTATATTCTTCTATAAACCTATCCGGAAATACTTGTATGTTTGATGTAACCATTCCACGGAAAATGCAATTCCGGTCGCGCCGTTGATCGGGAGGCGATAACATTATCTTTACTGGGTGCCGTTAGGACCTCCTTCTGTATACTTCTTATAATAGTATGTTGAAATTTATTTACGGTTTATATTGTTTCGATTTTTACTTATAAACTCGTTCGAAGATTTCAGTTCGACGTACGCGAATTATGCACGTGTAACGATAATATCGCGTACACGTATATAGTATATAATATAACCTTGATAAAAAATAATATACGGTGTAATTATTAATAAATCGTACGTATGGTATTTGATTTTACAAACATTTTCCATGGGTTTTATTTTCGCGAAAATAGTAAAACATAATAATTTTTTTTTTTTTTTTTAATTTTATTATTGAACTTGAGCGTTCTCTCAAGGTTCGCGTGGAAAAACTCGACGGGAACAACGTGATCGGATTATTATTTCTGTGTAGGCGTGTAACGAAATTTGTTATACTATTGACGTATTTTAGGTACGAAATATTGTTCTAAACACGGAATACGGAATAACATGTTTATCGGAATACATCACGTTTTCGCGTCATATTTATTATCGTGTATGAAATCGACCGCGTAGGTTATTTCTCGCATATAATATTAAACTGTTTTATTCACAATTTTGTCGTTTTAAAAGAGAAAACGTATATTCGCGCGTACGTATAATATGATGTATAACGACCGTGCGTTTGCAAATCGATCCGGAAATGATGTGACAATTTATTGTTATCGGGCGAGCACGCGCACGTTTATAATATTATACAGAGTGATTATTCTGTCGCCGATAATTTTCGAGTATGATTTCGATCGTTTTACTGCCGAAAATTGTACAAACCGCAAGATTACGGAGTGAAAGGGAAATAAATTTCATTATACGCATTCAGATAATTGACTTTGCTCCATTACGGTCAACTGTACGATAGAGGGAGGGTCTCCTATGTTTTATAAGATGACGGAAGTCTGCTGCAGCAGCCATCACACACTAAAGTTTAAGAGGACGAATTATTGTATCGAGTGACCCGTGTAAATATTTGTTCTATGCCGTGAACTATGTGCACACGATAACGTATTACATGCGATTGATTACAAATATGTTTCATGTTATCACGCGCGAACAACGTTATTATTATTTCATGTAGGTTAATCAGGAAAATTTGCCCTCTCGGTATGCTTAAATATTATGGCTGCAAGCATATCGATAATACAGACCCGGATGGAACATCACTATATTATAGTGAGGCCGTTATATTTTCGCGGTTACTGAACTGATAACGATTGAGGTCGTTTGTTTACATATTTGGTTTATGTATATGATGGTTGTACAGTGCCAACCGAGTGAGGCCGTAATTTATATATATGTACGTAATAATATTATACGAAAACATGTACAATTTTTACTGATAACCATGTCCCATCGATGTTTTTATTACACACGTTGCCAATGGTTTCAGATCTACTCGAAACTTATACGTATATACATAAAAATTCTGATCTCTAGTGGTTTTATGTCTATACATTATACCCAGTGGCGGGTTGACGGGAGGATCAAGGGGCGGGCCCACTCCCACGCGCTCGATGCATCGGCGTAACGCGAGTGTCCGCGGTATGCTTTGAAATACGTGCGACTTTTCGGGATTTTTCTCGGAAAAATTTTGATAAATCCGCCACCGTACACGTAACAAAAAAAAAAAACCCAATCACCGTCGAATAACGCGCGTTGATTTCGCTCGAAATTTTCACCGACGGCCGGCAGTGAAATAATCACCCTGTACGCATATTATTAATTATCGATATTGTCATTACGTTATTACGTTCTTACGAAACGGCCGCGCGGCGGAAGAGGGTTAGCGAACCGCTTACGGGTACGAAATTATGAAAAACTCTGCGATATTGCGTTACGATGTTTTCTTGTCTCGAACGCGCGACGACGACAACGGCGGCATTGTTGTCGCCACGCACACACACGCGCGCCGTCAGGTTCCTATTTTTTTATTTTTTTTTTTATTATTATTATTATTATTATAATAATATGTAATAGCAAATGTCCGTGTATGATAATAGTAATAATAATCATAATAATAGCGCCGAAACAATCAATATAATAATAATAATAACAATAATAATAATATTGTTGTGTGCACCGTGTGCCGGTGACAGTGAAAGTGAATCTTGAGAAAGACCGAGCGCGCGGCTTTTTTGTACGGGTTACAGGCGGGCGGGCGGGTAGAGAGGCACGCGAACGGTTTTTTTTTTTAGCGCAGTTTTCATATTTTCCGCGACGTTATATAATAATTTTCGATTACACACACTTATTTTACAATGCAACAGTTTATGTATGCCGACGAATTCGTTATTATTATTTTCATATTTTTTTTCGGCCTCGAGTCGTGTACACCACAGCCGCAGTTACCGCCTAGGTGGAAAAATTACGAGATTATTCGCGTGCCCGGGTCACGGTGTTTTCGCCCGATAAACGATTATCTCGTTTTGTTTTTTTTATTTTTTTACGTTTTGCCGAGTAAAACATTTTTCGGGGGATTTTTTTTTTTTCTTGTCGTTCTAACATTTTGCAATAACAATAATAATATAGCAATACTAATATAACAATGTTGTGTACCATACCCGCTATATAATAATTATCGACTGTAATAATTTGAATATTACTACGATGCGATAAAATACGTAATTTAATGTGACGGTATATCGAAATAATATTCGAAATCGATTACAAATCGTTTCTATTTCGCGTGCGTATCGTAACCACTGATGTATTTGGATTTTTGACCGCTTCGGGCCGTTGTTCCTTTATCCGCATTTCAACAATTTTTTTTTACTGTAGTACATTGGAATGTGGTGCTGCGCACTTTACATTTCGTGCTCTTAAACGCAATTTTTTAGGTCCCGCAGGTGTCCCGGGAAAATGCGCCGCTTGTTACACCCCCCCCCCCCTTCCCAATCGCCCCTTTAAAAACGTCTCTGATCCTAATCCACGGAGTAAATAAATATTTTACGGGTTTCATTATTTGACGAATAATTGGCTGTTGGCTTTGTATACTTCTTCTTGTAGGGGAATCTGTCGTGCAACCGTTTATCTAGTGTTGTTTTATTGGTTCAGACTCGTGAAACATTTAGACCGGAAAAGTATTGAGAGTCGATTTCCTAAACGCGTATTATAAAGTTATTGATATCGAATTTACTCTACATTTTCCAGAGATAAAACAATACTTCTTCAATAGGATTCTTCACGGGGACTTTTAGAATATCCTAACAAAGTACAATCCTCTCTTTTATACTACTAATAATATTAATAATAGTATGTCAACACACAATCCAGGGAACGAGGCTCTTAAAAAAAAAAAAAAAAAATGACTCGTCACTTTCGGAAGTGGCAATTAACTATATTATAATTTGTATATAGTTACCTATATACTAGCGATAAATTCCTTTGTTCGCGCTTAAATTTTATATAAACGACGGAGATTAACATCTGTGCGACTATAATAATATTATACTGTCGAGTTTCTGTTTAGGAGATACCCGGATAGACTATACGACGACGACCTTGTCCGACGACGACGACGACGATACGACGAACCGACAAAAACAAATAAAAAAAAAAAATCAAAGTCTTTTATCGGCTCCTCCAAACACCATCATCGCCGGGATAAGTGAAATCAATGGGTTAGCCTAAATAAAGTACCGCGGGAGAAAGTCAATATAATATAATATAATTATTGTACGGAAGTTGCGTTGTAATACCTAACTAATAAGTAACACGTCGCCGCCGCCGCCGTCGTCGTCGTAGTCGTCGATGACCAAATATTCTATAACAATTATTGTTTTATGAAAATAATGATTTTTTTTCTCGGGATTTATTATCCGTACGTGCGTGAGCAATACAACTACAATATCTGTAGGCGAAACGCAACACGTTGTGCAAATTATGCAATTTTCCGCGAATTGTGTAATCGTATTACACTTATCGTTTTAAAGTCAGGCGCATACATATAGGCAAGCCGGTATTTAAAGAAGATTTTTTTTTGATGCTTTCTTGAAACGGTCTCCGGATCGTCTGGGATTCAAATGTCCGATCCACTATCTATATTATATTATGCCGATGACGCCGTTCTCTTGGGATTCGTGACGCGGGCGGATATTACAGGGACTTGGGAGAGGCTTGAGCACCACCAACCAGAATGTTTTAAAGCCGCGGAAAGTTTTGTTCCTTTCGCAAAATTCATTTTTAATTAATTAGTCTAACAGTGATCCGTAAGAATTTATTTTTATCAATATATTTTCACAAAACGTACGTTTTATTTTTAATCGCCTATCAACAGCGATAAGAAATAAAGATAGCTTTGTTACTGGTTTTACAAATTAAACATAACACATAACATTGCATTTATTATACACAATTTAGTGGCACAGCTAGACAACAATTAAACAGTAGGTGAAGTGTAAAATAATATTGTTAATGGGCAACGTAAAAATGCAGGTGAAAATTCCAAGCCCCATCAAATATCCGCCTATGATTTGTGATGCGCTTTTATAGTTCATCACGCGGTCCCGAAAAACACATCAGTGTACAACAATCGATTATCGATAGTTCGCAACTATCACGTCGGGGCATTTTTTGAGGAAGTTTTCTGCGTCCAAATGGATACAGATTATAAAGTCTATTGGACGTCCCATTGAAGAAGATTTTGCTAACTGTGTCCACGGGAAAATTAATGGTAATAATGGTTGAATTAGTGGATTTCGTAATGGGATAGTTTATTTTATAGAGGAAATATTCTCAACGCCGGGGGGGGGGGCAGTTGGGATACGTCTAAATTTCAAAGGGTTTGATCAATCTGCTCAAGGAATTTTTTTTTTTTATAGGGAGTGGGAACGGGCCGTACTCAGTGGGCATTCGATAAAAATATCCCGTCTGCACGTAACCCGAAGTAAACGCTCGCGATATGTTTAAATTTCTTTTAGCGATTAATTTTTCGGCGTACTCTCAGTAACAATTCGAAATAAAAGAAAAAAAATGGGAAAAAAAAAATAATGTGTTCCACGTGAGCATTCTACCGTATACGGGGTTAACCGAAAACCGCGCGGTGGTTATTGGCCCGGCAAGTGTCATTGCAGCGAGCGCGAAGAAACATCGCACGCATAGTTTCTACGTCTGTGAACGACCGCGAAAGAGAGTGTTTTGGAAATCGTCGTCGTCGTTTTTTGAATATTATCGCCGTAACAGATCAGATCATCGTCTCGTCATCATCATCATCATCATCATCATCGTCGTCGTATCGTGTCTGCATCGTTAGGTTTGGAAAAGCATAATAATAACATAATGTCGCGCGTACGATGTCTACATTATATAGTTGAATGAACGACGATGATTTTTTTTATTATTTTTATTTCAAACGATTCACGATACTCGAATTATATTATCGTCGGTTTTCGATATGACAATTAAAAAAAAAAAAAAAAAAAAAAATTACAAATACAAATGTCTATAATCGCACTATACACGCGTGTATTAATTATAATATAATGAATACGAATCGACCTGACCTTATTTTTTTATTTTTTTTTTTTCGAACGACGACACATCCGTAAACACCAGACGACGCCGGGCGCTTAACAATATTAATACGTATTACGTTGGTTTGAATGTTTTAAACGGACAGGCGTGTACACATATCGATGTTATATACATCATACCCTATCATTTCGAAATTAAAGTACCTAGGTATAGTTACACTCGGATACTTTTTGTACGTGCACTCAAATGTAAACAATATGTGTTTCGGAGATAGTTTCGAGCGAACGAAACCGATAGGTAAAGTTTTCCCGCCGGCACACGGTGTTTCGTGTACAATACGGGTATCGTAAAACGTCTTTTTTTTCAGAAGGTTCTAGACACCGGTCGGTACACTCGAGTATCCGTTTCGCTGGAAATTAATTCGTATTCGAAGTATATAAGTACGGTTCGATAAACTTTTCGAGCGTTTCGTACACTCGCGTGCAGTGTATTATTTGATTGGATTGGTCGATTTTTTCGGAAATAATTCGCCGAGTAAAAAATCGGTCGGATTCTCAATAAGGGTTCCTACTGTGAAATCGAATTTAGTCGAGTATAATATCTCGTATACACTTTCCACCGTGCAGTATAAAATAAATACACGCGTAGCGACCTTAAAACGTCCATTATTATACGACCTCCCAGACGGGTGCATCGGATTTGTGCGCGCGAATTTGCGGGAGAATAATTCAATGAGAACCGCAGCAGCGACAACAGTACCCAGTGAAACGATGCGAGTTCTCACATTTAAAAAAAAAAAAATAAAAACTGTTTAAATCATTCGTTTCCGACGACCACGTTCGTTCGCTCTGAAAACACTCTGCGCAGAGGAGAGATCCAGTTTTATTTCACTGGCGACCAACGCCTCTGTTAAAAATCGCGCGTAAATTAGTTATGTTTTTTTTTTTGCAGGTGAGAGTACGCGCGAGTAAGAAATTGTTTAACGAAAATCTATTGCCCGAAAAAGTATAGCGGAACACACATAGTATTGTATGAGATTAAAAACGAAATGTATTTTTTGGCGAATCGAAATACCCGTGTAGGTACATAATTGTGAAAACCAGGGCTAAGAGAGGTTAGGCCGTCGTGTGACGAAATCAAATTCAAATGTGAAAAAATACACTAAATCGGAAATCTCGTTGAAATAAAGTGACCCCGGGGTAATACTGAAAAAAACGATGTTTGGACAAAATCGGAGAAGATTCATTCTTTTTGCACGCATTTGCAAGAGACTAATGGAAGGAATAGCGTGCGGTACTGCGTGCGTCAAGCCTGAATGGCCTAGAAAACCGAAAGAAGAAGAAGAGTACGCGCGGCCTTTTAAAAATACGAATACAATACGCGGCCGGTCACTTTTTTTTACCAAGTCCGAAAAATGAAGAGGGGGAAACTGCTGACCGCAAACGTTTGCGCGCAAAACGTATTAATATTTTAATGTGTGCGTAGGTACACCTAATAATAATAATAATAATACCGCAGTGCGTTTTCCCTCGTGATAAATCATATTTCGGCGGTTCGGATCGGTTGTCACATTATACCCGAGTACATTTTTTTCATTATTTATTAGCGATATCCGCGATGAATTTCACGCGATTCAACACGGTATGCATTAATATATATATACACTGCCGTACGCAATTCAATCGATAGCAATAATAATATATGTTAAACGATCTTAGCGAATTGAAATTAATTGGAAAACGCGGCGCGGATATTATCATCGTCCGTTTGGTTATTTGTCACGGTTGTACACGTCTATCGCGGCAATCCGGGCGAGTTTTTTAAATTTTTTTTTTTCTTTAACTCTCGCGGCGTACAGCGAACAGTGGCCGGGCTAGGGGCTAGTGTCGGGGCAAATATTCCAAATACACGAGGGGGCAGGGGGAGTTTTTGTACAGTAAACAGCACGGTTTCAGACACACCGATTGTATTTTAAACCGCGACGAAGAGACGAAGAGATACACTGCCGGAAACAGAAAACTAGACGCCGCGGCCGTTATCGTCGACTATTATTTTAGGTTTCGGGTAGATATTTGGAAAACGCGAACAATTATTAGCAGGCGAGTGTACAAGCATTTTTCTGATGCCCGTCCATCGATATTATATTTTTGATGAGACTTTAGGATTTTAAAAGGCGATGTTTTTTTTTTTTTTTACAAAGAATCGTAATAAGAAAATTAGAAAAAAGGCGCTACACTCGCCTCATCCCGACGATCCCCTGTCGACAAACGGTATAGATGTGTGCAGTGATATATAATTATACTCTGTGCGCGGATGTCGAAAAATAAAATTGTATCCGACTTTCGCGGACAAATTTTGCCCCTCTCCCCCCACCCGACTGACGGTTACAAACGCTGCGAACGAGTTCGACAAGAGAGGTGTTTTGATTTTGAATTTCGGAAAAAAAAAATCCATGTCATTAGCCGCGATCGAGTGCATAAGGTACTCTGTAATTTATCGCACTAGCGTCTCGCGTTATATCGTGCCGGTCATTATTGTCACGCCGAGATTTTTAAACATTTTTTTTTTTTTTCAAGTCACGCCACATAATATTTTTTATTTACCAGGCGATATTACGAGAAGCGTGTCTTTCGTGCGGGGCCGGGACAACGCGCGTATTGTCATCGGCTGTCTCGAGGGTTCGTCGGGCGTTTTCAAACCGCGGTCGAGTTGGGTTATTACCAGAGATATTTTGCCATAGAGAACACCGCACAATGTCGTTATAATTTAATTATTATTCACCGTCTCCCCGTCGTCCGTGGGCTTTTATATGATCATTTTTTTTTCCCTTCTATTCTCGTCGTCGTTGTTGTCGCTCGTAATAAGACGAGGTCTTTTTCTTCTGTGTAACGCGCATTGGGTTCGTGTGTTTTTTTTTTTTTTTTTGTTTTGTACACTTTTCGAAGGACTCATCTCGTGTTTGTTTTGTGCTCGTACACACACACACACACGCACGCGCGCGCGCTCGTAAAATATAAATCAGGTCAAGTGGTCGTAGGCTGTGTAACCGAAAAACATAATACATTTTAATAGTATACGGTTGTATAGGTATATTATAATACAAAATATATATGAATATTGAAGATCCGAATTCTAGGTCATTGTTCTTGTGGAGCGGATTAACGCCGCCGTCCACCTTCCGTAACGCGAAAATCATTGAAACAGTTTATATACATAATATGCTATAGTAGTCAAGTATAGATAATTTTTTATGAAATATACAGGTGACGCGGAGTCGCGTGCGCGAGTTTCATTTTTTAAACTACGAGATTTATCGATTTATTATGTATACGTCGTCGTCGGGCGGAGGACCGTCAAGCGTTTGTATAACAGACGATTTTATCGTTTTCGTGCCTACTATTTTAAAAAATAAACGTCTTGTAACCGTCAAGTGCGCGCAACGATAAATAGAGTGGTTTTTTTTTTTTTTTTTGCCGTCGATAAACATCAATTCTCATTTCGCCGGGATCATCGTCGGGCGGGGGACCGTATTTTCTTCTGAAAATTAAACTCTTACCCAGATAAATATTTTCAATATTATTGGTTAACATACATATTATATAATGTAAAGTCAAACATTTACTTGTTACCCATAGGCATAGGCATACAAGTGCGCGCAACGATAAATAGAGTGGTTTTTTTTTTTTTTTTTTTTTTTGGGGCGGTCTACTTAACATTTTATATTATCGATTACGCATACTTAGTATTTACTTGATTTGCGGGGACACGACTGAGTTTTAGGGGGTCTAATCCCCAAAGCTCCCTCCGAAGCTGCGCCTATGTTAATACCTATATATACAACTATAGCTCATGTAATTTGTCTTATTTTGGTAACGTGAAGTAGAAATCGATGATAAAAAACTCAAATTAATATCTACGCGGACACGAAATCCGTATACACGTTTAAATAAAACATGTGTACTCGCGTTTTAATTTTATTCCCTTATTCAGGGATATTTGTTTAGGTGATAACGTACTATGAATATATTAAATTTATTGAGAATTTGAATTTATTTAGTAGTTAAATTATAATTTGTAACGATACTCGTATTATAAACACCAAAAAATGATTAAAACGCTAAAATAATTACAGGCGCACGCGGTCTTATAGATTCGAATGTTAGTTTTACGCGAATAATCCGCGTGAAATAGGGAGCTTACGGGATAACGGTAGGTATAATATTTTTTTTTTTTTTTTTTTTTGGGAGGGAAATGACGGCTTTTTGTCGTCCGGTCTAAGGCATTCCCGCGTAATCCAACGTGCCCGCACATTAACGGCGTGACGCGTTCATAATGGTAGTCGACTTCGGACATTCATTACGCCTAATAGATTTAGTGTAAATTTCGTTCGGATGGAAATATTATAATGGGCGTTGTTATTATTATTATTATATAGTTCATCACGGATCACGGATGATTCATTTTACGCATACAGCTAATGTTATGATAACGAACACAGGTGGTGGTCGTGGCGTCGCACGGTATGATGATTCATCGTGCGGCCGTTCAGAGTGCGGATCAAGTATGGGTACTCGGGGGGTTGTGATTCATTTAATGTTGTGTGCAAGAGGTTGACGGCGAGGCGTGTCGTCGACTGGAAAAAAAAAATAAATAAATAAAATAAATGTACGTATAAAAACTCGTTTTCGGCTACCAGAAATAATTACCTACCGGGTACTTGTACTATATAGACCGCCGGGATGAATCATCCTTCGGATTATTGTGTTCCATATAATGTAATGCGCGTCGGGTTATGGGCCGCAATCGTATATAATACCGGGTGTACCAATTAGTCCGTTTAGGTGAAAAATACGGGGGATCGATCGGGACGCGCGCGTTTTATAGGCTTGTTGTTATTTCTTCCGAAATATACTTGCCCGGTATCTGTTCGGAATCCACGCAATCGTCGTCCGACACTCACGACCGCAAGGCCGCGTCCGTCTCCGGTTTTCTGTCGTAGAGTTTTTCGAATATCACCGTGCAGTGTTTTTACGAACCGTCCGACTGCATCCGTGTTACAATAATAGGTAAGTCCTATTATCTTTACGAATTTTTTTTTTATATTGTATCATTTTTTGCGAGTGTCGTTTGCGCGCGTGATGGAATATCTCGTGATCCGGGCTTTGGCCTACTGTAGGTTAACGTTGACATTTTCCGAATTCTACCGACGCGGTTTACGTCACGCGGTTTTTTATATATGTATATATATATATATATAGATAGATACGTTTGACGCGTAAAGTAATTATAAAAAAAAAAAGAAAAAAGATTAATCGAGAATTATTACATATAACTATAATATATGATCGCCGGCGTTACAAAATATGTATCGTATTATATTTGTTTTCCGACGAATTTATTATCCGTTTACGGTTTTTTCCCCGATAATTTTTCCACATCAACATCATAATATATTAATTGAAAAATATTTATGCGCGTCGAAATGAACTCGTGTGTGTGTGTGTGTGTGTGTATGTTTTTTTTTTTGTTTTTTTAACGGAAATTCTACGCAGTTATGAAACATTAGTCAATAACATACTGACAGCTGGTTTTAAATATAGTTTAGTTATGTAAGCGACTGATGATAATAATTGCATTTTCGAATAGTATACGATCCGGTATCCGTCACAGTGACATTTACCCGGTATCTGTATTTCTAACTGGTATTGTAATATTATAGAGAAAAAATGTGTGTACGTATACAAACGAAACGATTTTTTAAAATCGGTTTTAAAGCGGTAAAAATCCTAATATGTATAAAACGAGTAAATAACAACGTTCTGAAGATAACCCCGTCGATATTGTCTAAATATTCATTATTAATTCAATATTAAATATTAATTATGGAAGGTAAAAAAAAAAAAAAATCGCATTTTGAAATACCGTTCATTTCAACAATATTCAACGTTTCAAAATACGCCGAAAACGTACAGTGTTGTACACCGCGAAACCTATTGCTAATTGTACAGTTTTGATGTCTCTATGTAGTATAATACAATTTTTAAAGGCCTTTTTTGTTTGTACGCAACGCTTATAGCGGTGTTTGCTGTACTGTCCGTTACAGAAAGTCAAAGACGGTAAATGCCAATCACTGTGACGGCGTCGCTTTTAATAATTCTATAAACGGTCGGATGTAAAACATTATAATACGAGTCCGGTATAAACTCAGTGTTGGAAAATTGTTTTTGAAAATGAATTCTTTCTCGTTTCTATTAGTAGTTTCCTAGTTTCCAAAGTCCAAGCTAATCGTTTTAGATTCCGAGTGGAGCGAGGAATGTATTGGTTTTACAAAGATGATTTTTCGTTTACCTGTGAATAACTTTTTTACTAGCAATTTCGCTCCGATTTACAACGATAGCGCTTTTTGTGAAAAGCAATCTGACTGGCCAGTAGGTACTTTGTTAATTTTACCATGCGTGTATATTGTTGACAAAGCGACACTGTCGACCGAACTCCGTCCAGAACCGTTTTTATTTTTTCTCTAGCTACGGCTAAATCGTTGCGTGCGGTTTTAAATCGCATTCGATTTCTCCTCTGTTGCCTTCCCAGCTTCTCTGCAACAGCGCCGGCCCGCCCGCGTGCGAAGCGTGTTGGCCGTTTTTTTATGACGTTGTCACTTAGAAATGCCGACAAACCGATTCGATCCGGACGCGACAGTATCGATTACGCGCACAACGTGACACGGCGGTGACGTAATGAATAATCCCTGCCGGATTCAATGTGCGACCGTGACGCCGCGTACGGCCGGTTGAACAACCGAAAACGAGACGCTCGGACAAAACCGCGCGGGTTCGCGGGTTATTCTTCGCGCGGAAAGCGAACAATCGCCCGCTTTTTCCCTAACTTTTTCCCGTCCTCGTAGCCAGTCCCTCTCCCCGTACCCGCCCGTCCCCCCTTTCACCCCTCCCTCCCGGCGTCCGAACGCGAATCTCGTTGGCACCGCGACGCGACGCGCGCACGGCGCATACGAGTTTCGCGAGTGAACTCCGGGACGAAAACCGCCGGTCCCCGGGCGACGGTAACCTCGTCGCCGGCCGCCGCGCGCGCCCGTGCCGATGACAACACGCACGGTACAAAACCGTAAAAACGCGCGTTTACGTATCGCCGCCGTTATTGCCCGTGTATCCGGGAAATTATGTAACGATTTTTTTTTTTTTTTTTGCGCTCGTGTACGATTCGCGCGCGCGTCCATAGAGATTATACAGAGCGCGCGTATGTGCGCTATTGTGTTTTATCGTACGGCGTCATTGAACGTGTCTCTACGCAAACTACAGGGCGCCTGTACGCGCGCAATATCGCAGCTCAATGTTATGCGCGTAACATATCGCGTTCGTTATCGAAAAAACGCGCGTTACGTGTTTGTACATGCGCAATAATAATAATATTGTTGTTATTATTCATTATGTATGCTTTGCGCGCGAAGGTAACTCTCCGCGTAGCAGTAATACAGAATGATCCGCGGACGGAAAAACGCGAAAGAAAAAAAAAAAAGAGAGAAGAAAAAACCCGGTGTAGCCCGGGAAAAAAAAAAAACAAACGATTTTATAGCGTTACGCAACGATTCGTATCTCGCGCGGACCGGCGCGATACCGAATACGACACGCACTCACTTGAAGTCGCCCCCTTCCCCTCCACACACACAGACACACATATACACACACACACACGCACACGCACCTTGGCCGATCGACTTTGAACCTTCACCGATATTTCAGGGACCTATTCGGAACCCGGTTTTCAGAGTTTGAAACTTCACACTTTTCTCGCACATTTACATTCTCTATTGCGCCAAAACACTCGTTGAGATTCTCGACACTTTTCGGTAAACGTTTCGCCGCGTAGTAATTTTCTCCCTCCCCCCCCGATTCACCGACAGCAGTGCGAGACGAGTTTTTCACGTCGCTACCCGGCTACTACCACCGTTTACTCAATAAGTTTAATCAAGTAATGTTTTGCATAATCCCGTGTTCCCCTTCGCGGGGCAGGCGCACGCGATTATTAACAACTTATGCTAAGCGAAACTACAAACATATGCGCCGTATAGTGCCCGTGCGCACCTCTTCCGGAAACGTCTCTCTGTTCGCGGACGGAATTCTCCTTTGACGAATTCACCGTTCCCGACCAACCGCATTGTATTATTTCGAATGTTTAGTGAAAAATAAAAAAAAAACCGTTTAGATACGAAAACGCGTTGTAAAATCAACAACACAATATCCCCTAATTCGCCTAATCTAAACGCCGTCCGACCGCAACGCGTTAAAGGTTATCGTTAGGTTAACGCGTTATCCATTTGAACCGTCTCAACTCAGTAAAAAACACACCGAAATCGATACCGAAAATCGCCTAGATTCCGATATGCGATACTGTCTCGACCACAACAGTGTAGATATGTATCGGGGTATTGAACCGTCCCTGCTCCGACTTACATTACTATTACAACGGTAATAAAGGCCGAAAAGTACAAAAGAAACGATACGACCGGATTCGCCGGCGTTATTTTTTACTGTCGTTGACGCGCGCACCAGTATCGGTTTCGTTGCTAATTTCTCCGGTTCGTTTTACGCGTACTCGTATGTATTATGCACAAATGAACAATTCTTTCGATTTTTTTCCCGCTTTTCGCTCTCGATAAATACATTTTTTCGGGGTGGTTTTATGTATTTTCATCGAGACACAGAAACCGGAATAAAAAACCCCCGCCGAACGTCCGGATACGATTACGACGCGTACATTGTGTACTTCGTTCGGTTCCCGAGAACAGCAATTCCAACGTGCGCGCACTGACGGACACCCCGAAAAAAAACGTGTTCCGAGAAAATAATGTCCGAGCCGTCGAATGTCCAAAACACAATTGGCAGGCACTCCTCCGACTGTAAAACAAAAAGGTTTCCCCCCTACCCTCCCCTCCGTATTGCCGTTCGTAAGTTTGTGCGTAGTGCACGGCTGAACGCAATGATGTATCGTGCGGTTATTATTTATTTTTGCGGCGCGTGATTTAAAAATCGACCGGCGATCGAACACTGCGGAACGTACCGCAGTACACCGTGTTTTATTTTCGCGGCATTACGACAGTCGCACGCCGTAACGGCCGTTGTCGCGATCCCCGAGTCGACACTCTCTTGAGTCGCGTATTTCGACACGAATATCCAAGTGCCGCGGTCGTGTTGAAAATCGAGATTTTCCGCTCGGCAGCACCGACTTACTTGTTGGTGTCCAAAAGTCGGCGGGTCCGAAAGCGGCTGTCTCAAAAACGATTACGAAAAATAACATCTCGTAACAACCGAAAAAAAAAAAAAAAAAACGTAAATTATTTCAATTAACAATTCAATGTCAGTTCGCGCGTCGGCCTGTACCGCGAACTAAGACACGCGAAGGACTGGACAGAGCTAAAATGTTATTTTTCACCGAAATATAAGAAAATCGAATTCAAATTTAATAAACATTTGTAGTACTTATCCCTGCAATCAATGTCGAAATTTTTAATTTTAAAATTCCCGTTCGTAAAAATATTAAGTTAATAACTTAATATCGTTATCATTGTTATCATTATTTATCTACCTATACAACCCGATTCTGAGAACTATTGTCCATCGACTCTCCGTGACTAATAATTTTGATCTCAAATGCATAAAAGTTTATTTTCTCGTCACTTTCTTAGTTCACCCACATTCACCAAAATTTATTTAACATACAAATGTTAACATAAAATTTAATTTATCATTATGGTAACGGTCTCGGGATTTTAGGTTTAAGCTTTGGGCAATCCGATCCGGTAAATTTTATTTTATTTTATTTTTTTTTTGTTATCAGTTTTAAGAGGACTGCTATGAGCTCGCCGTTGGTTTCGATATCGGAGTGAATCGGCCCGTTTTCAAACTACAACGTACGAGAACATTGTCCGCGTTTGTACACGTCGGTTTTTCTATTGCATTATTTACTCGATATTTTAATTTGCAAGCGCGAGACGCGACGGTTCGCAATATATTTCGCGCGTCTCGCTTAAAAATAATTAAAATGCCCGGGCGGGAAACGAAAACGCAACGCATCACGTACACGGCGTTCTATTACTCGCGCGGTTGACATAATGGGCGCCGATTCGCTCTCCGATATTAAAAAACGAACGGCGCGCGAAAAATCGGTTTTATTGAATAGCCGACGCGTTATCCCGCGATTATTGTTATTATTATTATTATTATCATTAATATTATCGTGCCCGTAACGTATCGACCGCGTGTGGAGGTTGAACACGCGCACAGAGGTCGCGACGGCGAACTTGCCCTTGACGGCGTCGGCGGGCGGGCGAAACCGACGCAAAATAGAGGAACATTAATATCGCGACGACGGCGTGTTATAAAAGGAGACCGGACGGCGTCGCGCGTCCGCAACAGCCGCTGCAGCTGTCGCCGTCGCCGTCGTCGTTTCTAAACTCGTCGGACCGTTGTCGGGACGGGCCGCGTCGCCTCGCCGCGTCGGCGAACGTCCGTCTCGCTCTGGTTCGTCCGAATGGTTCGCGCGGGTTTTTTTTCTCTCTCTCACACTCTCTCACACACTCTCTCTCTCTCTCTCTCTCTCACACCCGGGGTCTGGTCCGTCTCGCGCGTGAACGTAACAACAACGATATTATTGTAACGGCGGCGGCGGCGGCGACGGGCGCTTTTCTCCGCGATAATCTAACAATAACACTGTGTAATACTCGTGCGTCAAACATATTACCGCGCCACACGGGCCGTGCGCCGTCCGGCCGCTACCCTGGTGGCATCCGGTACGACGGCGATAATATTACGCGCGCGCGCGCTGCACACAGAGGCGTGCGAAACGCCGCGGCGACGGCCGTCGCGTGTGAGGCGCGCGCGCACGACGGAACAGAATAATACCGGCAACCCAGACACATATTTTCACGTATTCAGGCGCGTACGCGCACGTGCGAGCGTCCCGCGGAAGGTAACCCGCATCGTGCGCACAGGCACGATAATGTTAAAACGTGGCGCGCGCGCCGACCCCGGGGGCCGCGGGATCCGACGGCCGCGAGACCCGATACAATAACAACGTGTCCGCGGCGCGCGATAAAACACAACGAAACCGCGTGTGCGACACGGGTCGCCGCGATAATATCCCGCGCGATGTATTTTATTGTGTTGTCGCGTATTATTCGCCGTTCTACAATGCGATACCGCCGCGGCCGCAGGTGCCCACGTAGGTATGCGCGTTTCGGTGGGGGGGGGAAACGCGCGTGTCGTAACGGTTTTTCGGCGAAAAAACGCGCGTGTGCACATTTGCACGACGGGCCGCGTTTTTCCCGCCCCGCACACGCGTTACAGTCGTCCCCGGCACCTGTCTGCTGCGACCCCCGCCGCCCGGCGGTGGCGGTGGCGGTTGCGGGGTCGGGTCCGAGTTCGGATTTCGCGGTATACCGCCGTGTTTGCGCGCGGTTCTCGCGCCGAGGACGATACGCCGTGGTATTCGTTTTTCCCTTCTCATTCTCGTTCCGGAACGGCGAAACCGCTCGTGTCGCCTGCCGCGGTGACGGATATAAATTGCGTAACGCGGACGCGGATAAAATTTGAAAATTCATCGGTCACGAATCATCGCCGAAACGGTTTCCGTAACATGTTCCGGACAAGACAATTGTAAATTACAGCGGTACCACCGTACACGGCGCGGCCGGAAATTTCGCACAGAATAGAAACCGTCCAGATTTTAAAACCCGTCTCGTGAAAGACCGACGTGGACATTTGTAATGGAAAACGTGCGTGTCGTTTGTTCCACGGAATCTCCCGTCTTCCGTATCTCTCTCTCTCTCTCTGTTTCTCTCTCTCTTTCTCTGTTTCTCTCTCTCTAGGGACAGTTCAACTCTTGGTGTTTTCACAATAGTCGTTTTACCGTTGCTACTTTTCGGGGCCGACGCTGTAGTTTTCAAAAATCCGCCCGAAACGATTTCGGTTTTTTTTTTTTTGTTTTCGCGCCTCCGAAGAGGGCCGGCGGCGGCGGCGGCGGCACGCGCGATCCGCACTCGTCGGCGTTTTAAACTCCGCCGCCCCGCGCGCGTTTTACGAGTGAAATCGAAAACAAAAGCGAACAATAAAATAACATTCTCATGCGGACACCTGGGAGGTCTCTTCTTATTTACGAGCGGAGGAAATAATAATAATAATAAAAAAAAAAAAAAAAAAACAACCAAATCGATTTCTCATATACCGGCAGCGTGTGCCAATTCACACGCGAGCTGCCGGGCATCGTGTTTGACGATACCGTATAGCTGCTGGTACGCCGGTGTACACGCAAAGCGAGCGTCTCTCGGGTTATCGGGGAACATTTTAGCCCGTCTCGCGGTAGATAATTGTACGGGGGTGTGATAAAAAAAAAAAAAAACACGTATATGCCGTGTACTTTAATTGTCCGAGATAACAGCGGACGTGTAGGGATAGGCGTGTTTTCCATACGAATCGGGGCGGGAGTAGCGGTCGACCGGAGGCATATGAGTCCGTTTTATCAGCAGATTTCAATAATTAATAAAAAAAAAAAAAAAAAAAAAAACCATTCCTGACGGAACCACAGTCTATATTAATGTACGCTTAGATGATTATCGGCGCGCGGTTAGGAATTGAAAACAGTACGCGCTTATTATTCTATACATTGAAAAAAATGTGTATTATCGTCAGGGAGGAAAAAAATGTGCAGCCCCGAATCCTTATTGTGTATGATGAACGCCGATAACAGTGCGGATGACGGCCCGGCCGAAACACATTTAACATGTACGACGGGATATCGAAATCCCCGTGAAAAATATTGTTATCAAACGACAAATGTAATAAATACGATTTCTTTTTTTTTTCTCTTTTTTTAATCTTACTTTTAGTATGAAAATTTTCTCCTCTTTGCCGCAATGATTTCCCGTGGGAAATGATGATGATCGTGTGAGGTGTACTTCAGAAGCAATACCGTAATATTAAAAACGGTAATATTCGTTGGAGTTTATTTGGCATTTTTTTGTTTTTTACTGTTTACTGGACCCTCTCGGCCAGAGTCGGCCGTTAACATCTATTACATCACGTTATGTTTATGTGTCTTTTGGATTTACATCAAGTGCGTGTCGGTTATCTCGAATATTTCAACTATTTGATAAGTATGTTGGTGTTTCTTATTATTATTATTATTATACCCGGGCCGGTGCAGTCGTTTAATTTTAAAATATCACGTTCCGATAGTGACGCAAAGTCGCCGGTGTAGGTCAAGTTTGGAAAGGTGTGGATAAAAAAAAAAAAATAAAAAAAATGAAACGCGTATATACACGCATACGTAATATTATAACATATCCATAAGGTAGTTGGCCTATATCACGCACGAGGCGAACCGGCGCGGTGTGCCAAAAATCGCTCGGAATCTGCGCTAAAGATTAGACAAATTCGAGTGCCGAGCCTGTTTTCGTCCCGTTGTTTTGGCATGCGGTCGTGTAATACAGGAACGCTTTTATCTCGTTTTTAGAATGTTCGTAACCGAATAAAACGGCGGTAAAGGTATTCGGAGTTTATGCAATGACGTATTTTATTATCCGATTATGTTAAATTGTTTTTTGAAATTCGGTAATTCTATCGCCTTTGTCGTACTCCGACCTTAGACCCGATGATAATTTTTTCAATCGAAAACGCACAAAACATATAATAACACTCCAGCCACTCTACGCTCCGGGGGGTTTTTTTTTTTTTTTTGCGTAGTTTTTTTCAGTTTCGACTAGTATTTTACTTACCTACTCGTATTTCAGTTCAAATTCCCGACGAGGAAAACACGCTTGGTTCGTTTATACTTCGAAGTATTGCTTGAACACTCGGTTTTTTACGTCGTACGTAAAATAACAATTGGTTTTTGCACATTTACGGAATTCGTACAATTGTAATAAGTGTTTAATTACCGCTGTACTTACTGCGACGCCGTGTTGTTGTAATCGCAATAAACTCATACAATTGTATAAACAAACAACGTGTACAGCTAAAATGCAGCTGCGGTACATAATAAACAAACATTATTACTCGAATATTGTTCGTAAAACAATATTATTGTAAAAGCCGTATGAAATTGCAAAAAATACACGAAACAGTCTTGTACAATGTGTGCGGAGTATAAGTATGTACGCGGTATTCAATTTTTACTGCCAATGTACCGTTACTTCGGATTTGAAATTAAATCCGACGCAGATTGTATCGCAGGTTAGAATGGGTTGTAGGTTTGGTAATGTTAGATTGTATCGCAGATTTAAGAATATAAATTAATGATATTTAAAAACAACCGTGAAGCTAATATCTCCGATGGACGTGAGTTGTAGGTGGAAAACCGGGAAGGCAGGATATACAGAGTCACTTAGTTAATTTCAATTTGTACGCGACACTGAAATTCACTGCTGGCCAAATACGTTTCTGAACTTTCTCATTTACCAACTAGATTTACCAACTACCAGCAATCTGTTCCAGGACCGATGCTACTCTTGAAATAATTCGGAACAAGATTTACGGTAGAAATCAAAAATCAAAAATAACGAAATCGTGTTAACGGCCGTAAATATTTGTCCGTTTTACCTTTTCGTTTTTTTCGCAACTATAATGAAAACCGCTCGGAAAAATAAAAAAAAAAAAAATGACCGAATCTTCTCGATCCAACGAGATCCAAAATGCAATGATATAGGTCTCTTGTTATTTCTTTTATGAAACGAGATTTCTGGTCGAAAAGTTGCTCGGACGGATAAACAATAATGTACTAATAAAAAAATCGCCCACATCATAGTTGAACCAGTACGGCCTATCGCTCCGCTTCTTAGAATGTAAAAAAAACTCCAATTAGTGCGCAATTTTCATTTGGACGGATGAAAGTGTTCGTTATCTACGAAATACGTTATTATTATTATTTTTTTTTTTTAGGTGATATAATAATAATCAACCATAGTCGGGGTACAGTCGACGGTAACGATTTACTCGCGTGTGTAATTGTCGAATAACAATTTTCAAACGAGATACACCGCGGCAATATTATATCGTTAAATAGTTCAAGGCGAATAAAGTCAAAAAGAAACCTTAACATAACCTCTTATAGAAATAATGCGATACAATAGAGTGTAAAAAAATAAAAAAAATGATCCGGTAATCTGTAGGTAGGCACCTACTCAAAGTCACTGAAACTGTATAATACAATAATAATAATAGATAGTATTCTCTTATTACTGAACAAAAAAAAAAATCCCAGAACTTTTGCGTGTCATTATTTTTCATAACTGAGTACTTTTTATAATAATAATTATATGTATAACGAACGATTTATTATTTTTTTTTTTTTTAGTTAAGAGGAGGCCACGCGCTCCTCGTCGATATTTCTCCAGGGTTCGAACATGTTTTGATCCACTCGATATAATAATCGAGTCCGTTTTCGTGTTATAAACCTTAAATCTGACCCAGAGTTCTTACCGCGAGTGTTTGCGATTCTGCCGCGGTTATACGAAAAAAACACGATCACATGATCTCATTTTCAATAACGGAATTCGTGGACGGTTCCATAAGCTTTAATTTGATACGGAAACCTCTATATCGACCGAAGTCGGAGTTGTTGGGTTTTTTTTCCGTACGGCGGCAGAATTATCATCACCGCGGGACAATTCGTTCAAAAACACGAAACGCGAAACGTGAAAATGTACACCTCGCGTTTTGATTTAAAAAAAAAAACATTTACTCGTTATGAAACGACAGTGTGTCACCTCGAATTGTGCAGGGTGTCACGTATTATTTGTTATTAATTTGCAATTTAATCGAACGAGTGAAGGCGTCCGAGTGGCTTTTTTTTTCGACAATTAACACAGTCAGTAAGTGGTTGTTTTTTTTTTGAAAAATTCATATTTCGCTAAAAACGACCGCGTCGTTTCCTATAAACGGACGAATATCGGCGCGCGGCCCTTGGATTCGACCGAACGCGGTATGCGTGGCCGTGACTCCAATTTAATAAAAACCCGACCGTCTTGCACGCGTGCCATTCGTAACCGTGTTTTATTGTCGAGCTCAGAATTCGTCGGTCGATCAGTCTCCGCGTGCGGCGGTGGCGGCGGCGCGCGCTCGTACGCGTTTTCCGTTAAAACGTCGCGTTCGCGGTGCAAGGCGTTCGCGTTATGACCGCGGGTACACTCGCGCACGGGACGATCCTTTCCGCGTTACCAGGGGGGGGGGGGGGGGGGGGTTCGAGGCCGGAATTCCCGTTTCGCGCCCGGGCTCGGTCCATCCGCGCGGCCGACGCGATGTCGCCCGCGGAGACGGGTGAAAAACGGAAATCGAATTCGCCCCCGGGGGAACCGTCCTGTACACCGCGCCGCCGCGTCGTAATTTCGTGTACCCGACCGGGAACCGCCGCCGTTCGTGGTCGCGGTCCGCTCTCCGGCGCGCCGCGCCTTTCCTAACGATCGTTTCGCACGTTATGCAAATGCGTCCGCCGCGCGTGCTCCGAATGCGAAAAAAAAAAAAACGGATGCCGGATAATTCGCAACACGGCGGGCGACAATTTGTCGCGTCGCGCGAGGCGATAGGGGGGAGGGGGGAGGGGGAGAGGAGGATGCGGAAACCCTCCCGCGATCCGGCGAAAGTGAAGGGTTTCCGCGACGACGCCGAGCTAATAACGCCGTGTCCCCCGAACGCGAGTGCCGCGTTTTGTCGGTCCATTCGTTTTTTGTCCGTTTTCGTTTTCCCGTGGAATCCGAACGGTCGACCCCGCAACGCGGTTGTCGTGTTGCGCGCGCGCACGCGGAACGTGTCCGCTGTAGTCGACCCCGGGCGTCGGTTTTCGCCACCCGAACAACGAATCTCCCGTTTTCGCATTGTGTTCCGTCATGACTGATGTCGCGGTCGTTTTTTTTTTTTTTCAATCGCATTTTTTCGCGTTCGTACGTTTTACCCGCACCCACCGCAACAGGTCGTTGAGCACACACACGACGCGTCGCGCGTCAAAAGCGCAGTCCCCGTAAACGTGCGATAAACGTTTTCGTTTTGCGCATTCAAAGGGCCCGCGCCGCCGATATAAACGACGAAAAACAATAGCGACACGCGAAATTGTATTATTGCGGTTAGCCGCGTATGTGTTGTCCCGCGTGCCCGTGTAGTGTTCGCGTCGTCGTGTTCTGCCCGCGTTATTACGATTCACGTTGTGCGTGCGCGCGCAGCAATCCGTTCGAGCGGACAGAGCGCGCAATAAAAAAAAAAAATAAAAAAAACCCGAGCGCCATTCAAATGTGTTTGGAATATTTGAACGTGTTCGCGGTTGTTTTATTATTGTTATTAATTTTTTTTTTTTTCCCCGTTTCCTGCAACCGTATGCGTACGCCGTCGTGCGACATTGAACTGTGCGTAAATTTCGTGTCCCTGTCAACAATATCAATACGACAGTGTATAATTATCGCCGCGCGTGCGAGATCGCGTCCGACGGGAAACGGAGTCGTTTGTTTTTTTTTTTTTATCTATCGCGTTCGACCTCTCGTTCGATTGTTACTGTCCGAGCCCCCGGCGGGGTCGAACGGTTTTTGAATCCCGAGAAAAGGCGGTGCGCGCGGACATTCGCATTGTTCCGAAGCTCCGCGAACGCCACGACCACGGATTCTCGGTAAATCCTTTTATAAATCTTCGCGACCGCTATCCGCCCAGACGACCTTAATCCGAGGATACGCTCCGAGGACACGCGTTTCCATCGCGTCAATTCGCGGTATCCGTGTCGCGTGGAATTCCGCGTATGGGACGCACGATGATCGCGTCCTCGAACGGTAAACAGGTTCGGTCCGGCGGGCGGGTCGGGTTTTCGAGTTCGCAACTTTCGCGTGATCCGGACGCGCGACGACTTTTCGTCGACCGTGTACGGCCAGTACGTTCTGTACGCATTTTACACTCGGCACGCTATGCGCGTGACTTTCTGGGGCGGGAATCGGGGTGTTCGGACCGCGGGCGCCACGTCGACTTTTCACATAGGGACGCGTGCCGGCGGCGGTACGGTTTAAGTTTCGATTTTTCCGCCGCGGAACGACACGAGACTACGGGAGGCAGGAAGGGAGAAGGGGGAAGGGGCGGCAAGACGGCGCATCTGCCCCACCGCCTGACTCGGAAATTTCAAATAACATAATGTCAACAATACTGGATAATGATTTCTACAATTCTGTTACAACAACCGTTTGAGGTGTTCCGAAAATGTACCTGTGACACTGCCCTTCCCCGTGGTGCGCTGGATTTCTCGCGGGCGCCCGTGCATAGTAGTCCGCGGTAGTCGTCGTAACGCCGACGAAATATTTTATTATTTTAATACGCGCGTAGCTGCGCGCGACCGCGGACCGGCACGTTCCGGACCGCTGCTGGATTCCCGTCGCGTCTAAAAAGGCGTTGTCATTGTCGTCGGTCCGCCGCGGCAAAAGAAACGCGAAACGGACAATGGGCCCGTCGGCGGATAATAAATCGATCGCGACGACGCCGAAATCCGATTCGCCGCGACGGAGTTTCGTTGTTAAATCGAAAATCGCCTCGCGCGTTGTGTTTCGCGCGGAATTTCGCGCCGGTGCGCCGCGAGAACCCGCCGGCGCGGTCGCGAATCGAAGGGGACGTGTCGCTGGCCGGGCCGGGTGCGTGCGCGGTCCACGTCGCGCCGTCTCCGTCTTACGAACGCGCGAAACCGACGGATTCGCGTCCGGCAGTGGCGACGTTGCGCCGCCGGTTTCGATAGCGCTGCGGCGAACAATAATTTTCGTCGGTCCGTCGTCGGACCCGATATTTTGGTGCGCGCGTGAGAACATATGCCGCGCGAAACCGCGTTTTTCTCTCGGCGTTTTCGGTTTTCGGCCGTGTGATATCTGCGCAGCCATTCTCGGTTTCGTTGTCGTCTCGTGTTATTAAAAATTTGAATACCGACGGGCGAAGGACCGCCGCGGTTTCCGGGGCCGACCGTGTGTACCGGAGATTTCCCGATGGAGGGGGAGGGGTCGTCTATGTATGCGCCCGGGAATTCGTTCCGGCCCGAAAGTGGACGACTCCGAGGAAAACGAAACTCGGAGGGCACGAGACGTAAAATAGTGGCGATAAACGACGTCAACAGATTAACCCGGCGAGCGGTTTACGGGGGAAAAAAAGTGCAGTAACTTCTAGTGCGTGCCGTCGATAGTAATTATGTGATTCGATCTAATAGTGAACGGGCACGGACGACGGCGCGATTTCGGGCGGACCAGTAGCGCGCGCGGGATTTTTTTTTTTTTTCGGGACGGGCTTTTGTTTGTAACCGTTTCCCGAAGAGGTGACAGCGCGTAAGCGTTATCAGCGCAGTGCAGTCGTTATCGTTGACGAATGAATGATTTCCGATGAAATTAAATCGCGTTTTGTCCTGCGGCGTAAGACGAATGTAAAATTCGATTGGCAAAAAAAAAAAAAAAAAACGTAGCGAAAGGAGACATTTCGGGGATGGTCGAGTCACTGGTGACTGGCGGTCCCTGTCGAACGCGAAATCGGCCACGCCGTTCGCTACGTTCGCGAGGCGGAGACGTCCTCCGAACGGGTCCGTTCGGTCGTCGGATCCGATCGGGACGAAACGTCCGTTCCGGTCGTCGCGTCCACCTCACCCGGGATCCCGTTACGTTTAACTAATGCCAATTATCAATCCGAAAATCCGTTTCCCCCGCGATAGAAAAAAAAAAACATTACAGGCACTTGGTCCGCCGTGTATGGAAGCCGCGCCAGCTCGGACGCACCTCGTACGATATTTCGTTGTAAATACAAGGTTATTTTCCGCTTTTTTTTTTTTTTTTTTGTAAATTTACGGGAGATAAAAAAAAATATAATCGCTATAATTTATAAAAGAAGAGGCTGCGTTCTGCTATATTATAATGTACCGCCGCCAGAAACGTTTCACGCCAATTATATATTATTATACGTATACGATAGTTACTGTATATAATATTATGTATAGGTTTACACGAGCCGACGAAGAATGTCGACGAAATATATTATTATTATTATTATTATGTATCGGAACGTTTTTTTTTTTTTTTTCTATTATAATTATGAATTATAACTGTGAAAAACGTTCACTTTTTACGGCGTAAAACACGACTTCCTCGACGACTCGTGATGTAGTAACGTTTCGACAAAAACGTTTTATAATATTCGTTTTCGTCTCTAAATAACAGTGTACCGCTATCATCGGGACGATATTGCGAATGGTTTTGTAATAATAACGAGAAATTGGCGTCTGTCCGCGATAAAAAATTACAAAAAAAGACTTAGTATCGAGTACACGGGAAGAAGAAAAAAAAAAAACCATCGGAATTCGATGTGTACAATATTTGTATAAGAGGATATTTTTACCCAAAAGTTTTCGTTTCAGAGAATCGACCGCGTACGCGTAATACCGCGCGGTAACGATCGGTAACTACGCACGGTTATAACCTTAAAAAAAAAAAAAACGAGGACACGGGAAGCGTGGGGGGGAGGGGCGATAGGACCTCGGGAACGGTGAAATTTCGTGTCGAAAACTCGTCAGTACACGGACGAGCGAAAGGTGAGGTGTCGAAAAGTCGGCGGGGCCCGCGGCCGAAAACCTTCGCACCTAAACAAAAAAAAAAAAAAAACAAATTAGTAATAGTAAAAACAATAAATAGCGTTTGACGGGACACAATCGGCGGTAGATAACGGCACCGAAATACAAATGGCGTTTCTCCAATTAACTATTGTCGGCTAAAAGGACGGCCGAAAAGAGCGTTTAGACCGTTTTCTGACGACGAGGCATCGTTTCCGTTTTGGACTTTTCAGTACGGTCGCGACGCGTCGGCGGACAAGCGCCGGGGGCAGCGCGCGAACTGTTACCTCGTCTATCCAATTCGTCCGTTGATTCAGACTGTTCGCGCACGGCTGTTGTAATTGTTGTAAAAAGGGAGACCGAGATCTCGAAATACGCGGCACTAAAAAAACGCACGGAGACGGAGCCCGGTAATTCCGGCAAACCGATAATTTCGATTCGCGTGCGACAACTGTTGTTCGTACGGGTATACCGGAACGGATATCCGCGTCGGACTCGGCGGCGGCAGCGTTTAGAATTTCGAAAAGGAAAAAAAAAAAAAAAAGGGAAATCGGGTGGTGGTCCCTGTAATGGCATACGAACCAGTAAAACATACCGCGGTGGCGGTAGAATGTTAAAAGCAAAAGAATCAAACGCACAACGTTCTTTTCCGAACATCGGCCCGACGCTCGTGCATTTATTGTGACGGACCGCACGATTTACCGAGGGTATACTGCACAGTAACGCGTACCAAGACAATAATATACGCACGTGCGTACACACGAGTCGCGTTCCGTATATCCGAGTCGTGACCGACGCGACAAACCGTACCGGCGACGCGCGACGGACGTACCCTCGGTTCTCCCGTTCGGCAAGCGAAAAATCAGGGGAAAAAAGGGAATTGAACGCGGCCGGAAAAACGCGGTCGCGAATCCTCGGGCGGCGGGGAGCCCGGCCGCGGCAGAAGCGCGCGGACGAACCGGACCGCGTACCGGGTAAATACCGCGCGGGTTCGCGTGGGCGGCCGGTCGCGCGCTAGGTGGCGGCCACACCGCGCGAGAGAAATTATTCGAAAAAGACGTTGCGCAACGGCACGGACGAAAACGACCGGCGGGGAATTCCCCGTCGCCGGCCTGACGCGCGCGCACGGCCGCGCCGAACTTTTCACGGCCATTTCATCGCCGCCGCCGGCACACAATCATCGTCGTCGTCGTTGTTGTTGTTATTGCGCCGCCGCCGCCGCCGCCGCAGCGAACCCGACCGGCAGCGTCCGTCGCGTCTACCGCGCGAAACGTAACGCGCGCGCCGGACTCGGTGGTAACGGCCGGCGTTACGTGCACAGGCGTCGGTCGGGCATTCGACGGCCGTCTACACCGAGTTTCCCCGGGTCCAGTGAAACGCGCGCGGTGTTTTTTTTTCTCGCGGCTTTTTTTTTTTTTTTTTTTTTTTATGTTCTTTTTCGCGTTTCGACGACCGCCTGTCGACTGTCGCCCGCCGTTCGGGTAGTGGGCCGCGGCGCCGGCCGTGTTCGCCGACGGACTTGGCGTTTTCGAAACGCCGAAGAGCCCGCCCCGCCGTCCGTCCTATCGCGCGTGCCGCGCCATAATAGAACCGCGTCTACCGGATTTCGACCGACGTAAACGGATTACGCTACGCCGTCCCCGACGGGTTCTTAACCGGGATTGCTTTCGCGGTACCGTTTGATTGGTGCGTACACTCGTTCATTACACGCACGGACGGATAAATCAAATGGCGAAACACTTTGAGCGTACTGTTGGGTATTTTCAAAAAAAAAAAAAAACAACGCAATCGAATTCGTTTATTTGTTCCGTTTCCGACAAATTCCATCCGCGGTCCTAATAAAGGGGCGGATTCCGTATTCAGAACTGAATACGGAGTAAACGTGATTCCCGGAGTTTCGGATTCCGGGTGTTTGGGCTTTCGAATCGAAATCGGTTAAAATTCACGCAGCCGCCGATCGTACCGTTACACCCTGAGTGGCCGTGCGCAAATTCGCACGAAATTCGACAGTTCACGCGTTTCAAAGACGGGGACGACGAACGCGGCGTTTGCGTCGCGGCTTGGAACTTTTATGATTTTTTCGGTTTCGGTTCCGATTCGGATCTTTGAGACAAACGAATGTCGGTACCGGTTATTAAAATTACCGCGCTGATATTTCGGTTCTGTAATTATACCGGTATTTGGAGGTGCGTATTTTATTCGAAAAGTAAACGGAAAACAAAAAAAAAATCGAATATAAACGTCATACATGTTAAAACGATAAGATAAAATTATAGCCGTGTTAACGGAATCGGTTAAGTTTGCTGGTTTGTTTTAAAAACATGCAAAACATTTTGAAAAAACAGAATCGACTCGTGTTTTTAATGCGCGGGAGTTTTATTATGCGAACGTTTTAAACGATTATACTCGAACAACAACGTAATTCAACTCATAACGAAAACCAATCGACCGTTAATCGATATCGAAAATCATATCCGTTATCGCCCTGTGTACGCCTTTTTTCCTTTGTATGAGAAACTGTTCGGAAATTATCGAGCGCTGTATTCAATCTTGCTCAACGATGTGTCCCTCGATAACCTCGATTATCAATCGGATGGAACAGCCGGTTGCGCACACCGAAGGAATTCGTCGACGGGAGCATCGAAATCCGTCGGGTTTTCCATCCGATCGACAGTCTGGGTTGTACGAGTGACGCACGCATAAAATCTAAATAAATAGGCGCGTTATTATTACTATTCATTTGCGTTGTTGCATCGATCGTTTTTTTAATAATCGTTTTATCACGCGTCGTTCATCGGCATCGCCGGACGCCTTGATCAAAAACTGTTAATAAATTTAGAAAAGAAAAAAAAAAAACGGAAAAATCACGGCGACCAGCCATGGGAAAAACGACTCGCTCGAGCGGTTCGAATCGCTCGAATCGGTTCACGGAGGCGATTCGGTCCGCGGTCCGTTCGATTCGGATCAGTTTTATCGACGTTACGAATAAAAGTCTTGTCCGGTTCAATCGTTCGGCGGAATCATTTCGAAACGGACCGGATTTAAAAGAGTCGAGACGGACGATTTTACGGCTGGTTTGTACAGTCCGAGCTCAAATCGCGCGCGCGCGCATGTGTGTAATAAACAGGCGTTGGTGTGAGTTGATCCATCGGAACACCGTCTGCCCGCACTGTATCCGGTCACACGCACACGTCCACTATCGTTTATCATTATTATCTAATTATCTTATCGGCGTTCGATCGCACTGTCGTGCCTTCGTGTGTAGGTTTCCGGTTACCACTCGCGATGACTCACGACTCGCGATTCGAGGATTCAAATGAAGGACAGAAACGAGTTGTAGAACGAATCGCTCTCGGTTGTTGAATCCGAACCAGTCCGTTCATTTCGTTCATCCCGGTATGACGGCGGGTTCGAAAAACCGACGGGCGAATCACAATATTGATCGTTTCTTACGTTTTCGTTTTGATTAACAGCTCATATTTTTATCTTTTTTCCGGAACTGTTAGATTGTAGAGTTATTAAATTATAAATACACGTATACGTTTACAACGTAAATGTATTACTTGAATGTGTAAAATAGTTAAATACCAATGGAATCAGAAAATTATCTTTCAATAAATGTCGGGAACCGGTTTCGGTTTAGGTTTCTGAGAAAATCAAAAAAAAAAAAAAAAAACGATATCGGTAAGGCTCCGGTTGAAATACCGGTATTTTTAATTTCGGTTCTGAGCCCTGTTCCACGCCCCCTTAACGGATTGAAGATCGTGATATGCGAAATATTTGGTTTTTTTTTTTTTTTTTTTTTTTAAATTTTAATTAGCCTTTTTAATTAGGTCACGAAAGGCCTTTTTCCGCAACGACTATACGTCTTCTCACTCCCCCGCTTTCACTCGTCCGCCGTCACTTCTGGGTTCTCTACTCCTAACGGCCGCGGATCTCGACCCGCACGCGGTCCGGCGGTCACGCGAACGTTGTCTGGGTCGTCCGCGACCTAATTTTATTTAACATATTTTGTGTTCCGCCAGATTTCCCATAAAAAAAAAAAAAGAAAAAAAAAGAGAGGCTATTTTCATCACGAGGTATACGGCCGGTCTCCTACGGCGCGAGTGATGGACAGCGTTGACTTAGTCGACTACGCTTGGCGATATCCGCGAACGAAATTCCGGTCAACGGTTTCTTGTATTATACCCGCAAAACAACAATCCATCTTCTTCGTCGCGCCGCGCGCCCTTTCGTCGTCGCGTCCCGATTAGCCGTTGCACGCGTCGCGGGTCACATCGCGGTGACATTCGGTGACCGGGATGAAAACGTCCCGCAGACAGTCGGGGGACGGTCGACTCGGTTCTCCCGCCCGTGCGCTGCTGCCGCCGTTGCTGCTCACGGCGGTCGGTCGGTTTTGTCCGGCGTCCGCGGGCGCACGCCTTTTAAACGACCGTTGTTTTCGTCACCGTCGGGGAATCGCCGGCCGAACCGCGGCGGCGTTTTTCAAGACGGGAATCGGTCGCGGACGCGATGAAAGTCGCGCCGCCGAGTGCCCGGGCGCTTCCGTCCGGCGACCGGCACCGCGGAGACATGTGGGTCACGTCCCGGACTGTGTAAGATGGAAAAAAAAAACAAAATATTACGTGATGCACGAGTCGTCGTCGTCGTCGCAATTGCGCAACGTTCGCGAAGGCGATGGGTTTTTTTGTTTACGCTCGAGCGGATTCCGGCTTATTGTCCGCAGCCGGCCGCGCGGCGGGCCGGTTGTATCGACCGTTTATTTACCGCACTGCTCACTCCCTCCGCGGCGATTTGTTCGCGACATTGCGTTTGTCCGTTGGCTTTTTCGCGATAAGTGCCCACAAACGCCTAATATAATAGCAATAATAATAATAATGAAAAAAAAAAAAAAAACGATTCCGCCGCTCTCTCGTCATTATATAACGTCGTGCACTTACCGGCTCGCCGCCGACATTGCAGTCGAACGATTATGGCCCGTGGACGGAAACGGGTACACCCACCGTAAATGTACGGCTGTTCCGTAAACGTTATGTTTCGGGCACGGCGAACTCCCGCTAGAGTGGGCGATCTCCCTCCCGCGTTGCCGTGGCGCGAACACCTGCTCTGGATAACGTCGTAAAGTCGTGAAAAGTAAAACGAGTAGAAATCAGCGGCGAACCGCAAAAACCGCAAAAACCGAACGGGGGCGCTGTTACGGGCCGATCGCAGCGACGCTGTAACGCGGCGGGACCTTTTCCGTGGTCTCCGCGGTCGCAGCCGGGGCGATTCAATCAGCGTTTTAAGGGCGTGTTGTCGAACACGCACGCGCACGCCACGGTCAACGCGCCGTAACGACGTCGGGAGGGGCGCGCGCAAGATGGTCCGACGTTTAGGTGTACGGAGAGTTCCTTCGGAACGGGGCGCGTGTCCGGTGGCCGGTCCCGTAGCCGCGCGGCGCGCCGCGGTTGCCGACGCGGGTACCCCCCGGTCTCCGGGCGCGGGGCGGTGTCCCCGGCCTCTGCGCGCGGTTCGTCGTTTCCCGACTTCTCCGGTCCCGCGGTAAACGACGGCGCCGCGTACACACCAATTGTAATTGTAACCGAAAGCGAAAGAAAAATTATGTTTTGTTTTTTTTTGTTTCTTTTTCTCGTATCCCGCAACCTACGGGAAATCCCGACAACTGATTACATATTACTGTTGTTTTTTTCCCCTCCCCCCCCTCCCCGCTATCGCCGCCCGCAAATGTCCTAAAAGATGAAAACTATTAATAATATAAAAAAAAAAAAAAAAAATTAAAATTTGTCGATAATAACGTTGTGTACGATATTGTTTGTGTCCGCAGGCATCCGTGTTATATGGAGGAAGTGCAGCGACGAAGTTCGGTCGGTTAGGTCAGGAGGCATGACCGGATCGTTGCGTCTGAGCGCCCTGCTGTTGCTGTTGCTGTCCCGCTGGGCGTCCGCGGACCTCGAGAAGGGCGAGGACGAGTTCGTCCGCAGCTGGGTCATCATCGAGGAACAGCTCGTGCCGCCGTCCAGGGACGAACTGCTGGCCACCGGCGCGGGAACCGTCGGAGCCGCAGCCGCGGGCGCGGCCGCGGGCCGGCGGATCACGCCCAAGTCGGTGTTTGTCGCGCCATCGTTCAACAAGTGTTCGGACGGTTACCGGCCGGACAGCATGGGCCGGTGTGTCAAGGTGGTGAAGCTCAACCAGGCGGCTCAGTGGGACTTCCTGCTCAAGCAGCTCAACTCGATGTACGGCCCCGGCGCGGCGTTTCCCGTGCAGGGCGCTTCCGCCGCGTACCGGCCGCTTCCGACGGCGCCCGCCGTGACCACCGAAACGTCGGCGCCGAAGACCGACAGTCCCGGCCCTTTTCAGCTAAACATACCGTTGGGCGGTATCGACTTACCGTCCTCTAACAAACAGACGGTGGAAACGGTCGACGACGACGAGGACGCGGCCGCAATCACAACCACGCCGGCCGTGCCGTCCGTCAACCCCGACCCCGGCACCATGACCACCAGCACCACATCCGGCAACGTAATCGCCACCGCCACAGACGCCGAAGACGACGCGGTCAGTCAAACCGCGACGATGCCGACCGCGGCCACCGACATCCCGGTCACTACCAGCAGACCGTCGCGACCTTATCGTAACCGGTACCAGACAATATCCGTCACGGACGAGGATACAGCCACCACTACTTCCGCGTACGACACGACGACGGACGCTAAAACGAAGTAAGTCCGGACGGTATTACCGAAATTAGGCGAGGGTGAGTGGCCCACAGTATTCGTTTTGAGAGACCATTGTTTTACGAAAAAAAAAAAGAAAAAAAGGTATTACAGAAAAGGTTTAAAACCACGATTTCGTGATCAGGAGACGAATAAAATCGTGGATTTTTTTTTTTTTAAATCGTTTTATGAGAACTGTTCGCGTTAACGCCCCTAGTAAAACGCAAATGAATTGAACATAATCCCCATCACAGAGTATTATCATAAATATCATTTGTCGTCAACAAGGTACGCGAATGAGGTGTGGTAGCGGCACACTTTTCCGTACCGAGCGAAATCGTAAAACTGTTCTGATAACGCGAGGGAATTTCGGGAGCCACGTCGTTATCGCAACACCGCGCTCGTCGGGTCGCACAATCGCGATCGTGATTAAAACGCAAATTCGTATTTAATAATTTGTTTTTTCACCTCATTAAGTTTTCAAACGTTTCGAGCGTTTTTCATTTTGTTTGTTGCTCGTGAGCACTACAGCGCACCCCGAGGATCCAACTCTGTATAGGTCTTCTGTCTTTTTTTTTGTATCTGTCTCGAGGAAATTGAAAAAAAAAATAATAATAATAATAATTAATTATAACGTTGCGTGAATAACTTCTTGTGCGTAGACGTTGAAATTTTCAACAGGTACAGAGCAAAACAAATAAAACGTATAAAAAAAAAAATAAATAAATAAACAAATAACAATGAAACCTTCACTCTAACGAAAATAACGAAGCAAACACAAAGGAACCTATAATACGTGTCGTTTTAATCACATCGAATTTTATAAGCTCGTTACGTCGCGCGTCGCAAGAGGCTTATGCGTCATAATTTTCGTTTTCATGTCAAAACTCTGTACGTGTATACCTACTTCACATTACACGAAGTATTTTATTTATGCGCCCAAACACTAATGTTAAGCCAACCCGTATGCTTCTGCATTTCGATTATTATTAAAAAATAAATAAAAAAAAAAAAAAATTGTTCTACTCCGTTCGTGATGTTATCAAATAGATTGTCATGTTCGTATTGTGTGCGTGTTCTGATTTTAAGCGCAGCAATAGGAATCGGTTTTCACTGTGATGTGTGTTGTTTTTTCAGATTCTGTGTGTGGCGAAGAACGTATTGGTTTCATAAAGATGTTAAATTTTGTAATTTCTTTACTTTTATGTGAACATTTTTTTCTACTAGTGAGCTTACGCCGATGTATACGATGTAAACACTTTTACGAAAGGAAACCCGACTGGGAAGGTACATTAAGGAGGTCGTTTTTCGAAATCCTCTCTCTCCGTAAACGACTTCCGCATCGAGCGACGCGCCGCGGCCGAAAAAAGAAAACGTCGCCTAGTCTGTCGCGTCGTCTGAGAGATCATCGTCTCGTTTTTTTATAACGTGCTCCGTCTACCGTGCCCCTTCGTCTCCCGCCCCGCGGCTATTCTTCCCCTCGAAATTTCAAATAAAATGCGACGCGACGCGCGTGGCATTCCGTTTTTGTCGTTGAGCGCTATATTATGTACGGCGAATCCGCCGGTTTTTCAGGGAATTTAATTATTTAGACGGGTCGCGTCTGAGGGGATCACCCACGCGCGACGACGACGTGGGCAACGTCGACAACGTTCTCCTCCACAACCTCCTGTGATACACACGCTCGGGAGTAAAAATAACGTTTCGCGTCCGCGGTGTCGTGTCGCCGCGCACCGACCGTTGCGGAACGAAAAATGCGGACCGCGACGGAGAACGAAAAATAATCGGTTATGAATATAATAACTCGCGGTTTTTTTTATTTTTTTTTTTGTTTTCTATTTATTTTCGGTACGTTCGATTTGTTTTCCCCTCCCCCCCCCCGCCGAATCAACTCGCCCGGCCGGCGGTGTCGAGAGAGAGGAGAGAGATAGTCCGCGCGCGTGCCGCAAACCGAATCGAATAGCGCGGCGCGAACATCGCCGCGGCGGTTCACGGATCATCGTAACATTTTTCGCGCCGGTGTCCGCGCGACCGGGTCGCCATTATCGAATCCGTGCCGAAAAGCGTGGCGATTCGAAACGATAATTTCCAAATAGATTCGACCGACAACCGCTATCGAAAAAGTTCGTTTTCCCGGTCTTTAGCCGGCCGCCGGGCGAGCATAACAATTGTGGGACGAACGCGACGATCATTTCCCGTAAAAAGCGCCGCGATTCACGGTAACGGGTCAAGACGGAACGACACGCAAACGCCGTAGTCGAACCGAAACATTATTGTCGCCCGAACGGAACGCGTTATGGTTATAAAATCGCTCGAAAAACCGTCGTCCTTCGAGGAATTATTAAAAAAAAAAAAAAAAAGATTTATTTTACCGCCATGGGCACCGTCGTCGCATCATGAACGTAACAGTCGATCGAGTATCACCATTTTGAATATTTAACCGAGTAATAAAACAACGTATACCCACTTCGTCGTCATTATTGTTATTTAACAAAAACGAGTTTAATCGCGTTTTACGTAAACGAGTGTCCATTAGTACTTTATATTGATGAAATTCAGTGTCATGTATAATATCGATTCTTCTGTTCTTCTTTTTCTTTTTTAATAAAACACAAAGTGTAGAATATTGTACACACGATGCGCGCGTTTCGTTAAATTTGCCGGTTTTGAAAAATAACAATTTTCACGATTCGGTCGTCATTACACCGTATCCGTACTACAGGATCGGACCGAACGATAATATCGAAGTTTCACTCCTTAACGCCCGTCCCTGACGTTCGCCGTTCTTTTCAAGCACGTACAATGGGTTTATTTATTCCGGTGACACCCAGCACTCGGGGGGCTTCTTCACGAACAGCGGTTTTCCTTTAGATCGCGGTCGTTATCCAACCGTTTGTCCCGGTTATCGAACGGGGTATCCAATCAGCGTGTTTTTCTTTTCCCCAAACGCGTGTTTCACAACGATTTCCGCGCGTCTACGCCTTACAAAGTGTAATGTCTCCTCGCCCATTGTCCCGTCTGTCGGTGGGATTCCCCGTGATCTTCTTTCGCGCGCACTATCGCGTCCGCAGAGGCTTCGAAATGCCTCGGCCTTCTCGGGCTCATGCGCGCACGCACTGCACGCGCTATACACGCCGAGGCTTTGGACGAGAGCCCGCGAAACGTCTAAACATTTTCGATTGCCGAAACGACCGACCGAAGTTTTCTAAAGTTCGCGTGAAATTTGAACCCGTTTGAAAACGAAAAAATACGCGTGTTTCCGCGCGTAGCGCATCGCGGTATTCGCGTTTCCGCAATAAAATAATTATTCGTATCGATCGCGTCACCTCGGAATAGCTCTGTTAGAAAATATTATTTATGTATATAAATATATATTTTTTATTTATAATCATATTTTCACCGTGCGAAAGTGAACGTACACGACCCTATCCAGGGAAATCACGAGATCGGTACTCGATCTTTATAATTATTGCGTGCGTCTAATAAATACCTAATCCGTGCGAAATTTAAACGATGATTACCGTTTTCGCGTTTATGAATACGATAATGATTTTGCCACGTGTATTCGACTGTGGCGGTGCGCGAAAAAAAAAAAAAACGAAATCTCGGGAAATAAATAATTCATCTAGAGAATTACATATAAGAAAAAAAATCTCAATCGTCGTCGCCGGAGACCTCGTCGTAAACTGCAACAGTTTAATAGTTGTGTGTATATTTTATCATAATTTTTTTTTTTTTTATAATTTACACTTTTTCACGATTCCGTGTCAATATACTTTCGGAACGCGTTGTCGTCGTCCAGCGTCGCCGTCCGAATTAAAATATATACGACTTGTTCCGTATTTACCATAATACGAGTATTTGCATAGTATTACCGTAATAGCATCGGGAGAGAGAGAGAAAGAGAGAGAGAGAAAATACCTCTGCAGAACTGTGTCACGTGTGGCCGCGGTTTTGAAATCTTCGGCACCCGGCCACCTGCGCGAGTACCGACGTGTAATTTTTCGCACGTATAATAAAAAAAAAAACAATAATAACGTGTTGGAAAGCCTTAAACATATTATAGGACGGCGGCGCTGCATTTATGATGCAACATACTCGTATATTATCATTGTTATTGTCGATAAATTAAAACGCACGAGTGCGTTTAAAACGTTTATGGGTTCTCAAAGTCCAAGTATAACCTTTTTGAAGTTCAGGACGATACGGGAGAACGGGGAAATAATTGTAGACGATAATATATAAGCATAGCTATGGATAAACGAGACCGGCATCCTAACCTAATCTAACCTAACCCGACCTCTTGTAGGTCATTTTTTCCATCGCTTTATCTAATGACACGATTACTCTCTAAGCGTTGTTACCACCATTACTAAATTTCACCGCCCGCCTCTACCTAGAACTGCCTGTCTCCAGTTTTCAACTCTCAGCTTTTCCAAAACCTTTTCTACCCCGCCAATCCGTCTGTTCTTCTCTTCCTATAGGTATTCTTCTTTAAGGTTTCAACACCATCGCTGCTCGCTGACCGTCTCGTCTTCACCTCTTCTCGGCATGCGGTCTTAACATTTAATCCGAAACAATATCCTTAACATATAACTTGTTATTGGTGCTAGTTTCACAATGTCACACAGCTCTCTATTGTATCTCCTTCACGAGTACACCGTTGTTTCATTAATGACGGGTCAAAATATGTTCCTCCAAATTTTATTCTCAAGCTCCTCTCAGCCCGTTTGGTCGTCGGCCAAATCTCGTGACCATCATATAATATAAGAGTTGGTCTAATAATAGCTATGCACACTCTTATTTTCGTTTTTCCAAATAACATTGTTTAGATGGATATCTATTTCCTTTACCGAATTATTCCAGGTGTTTTAGGTTGCACGCAAACATCTAAAATCAATAACGTCTCCTAAAAGGCCTACGGTCACATAATTATATTATTAGCCTAACCGTATTTCGTTTTTATATTTTGTCCGCAGGTACGTCGACGGAAGCAGAACGATGGCCATCGAAGACTCGCCGAAGACCACCACGGTGAGTTTAGGACCGGCTCCTGCAGTGCAAGTTACTACTACCGCGGAAGGCATCGCGGAGACGGAAGAACCGGTGACCGACATGGTACCGACGACGTCGTCGACCGATGCCGAAAACTTGGAGGACGTGGTCACGGTGTTGGCGGTAAAGGCTATGATGATGGTTCCCCATAGTACCTCCCCGCCCGTCGGGGTTCCTTACACGACGACCGGCGGTGGAAGGACGCAAGGACTGGCTGCGATCGATACAGTCACACCGGAATACTACGACGACCAACCGGAGAAGCTGACTACGGCCCCCGAACCGGACTGTACGATCCCAAACGCGCACCTTTACTTCACCGAGTGTGCCGGTTACCGGCAGCAGCAGCAGCACCATCAACAGTATCAACAGCAGCAGCAGCAGTTACTACTCCAACAACACCAGCAGCAACAGCAGTTCTATCAACAGCAGCAGCAGCAGCAGCAGTTCTACCACCAACAACTTCAGCAGCAGCAAGAACAACTTCAACAACAGCAACCTCACGTGGCCACGGCTGTAGTCAAGCGCCCCGTTGGCGAAGGAAACGTCGGAGGGAGTTTTAGCGTCAGGTTTCCGGAAGAGGATGCTGCGAATCCGGCGTCAGCGCCAGCGGCGGACAACGTGAACCTGATCCGGTTTCCGGGCCCGGCCCCGTACCGGACCACCAACAAGATGTACGAGAGCAGCAGGCACCCAACGTGGTGGCCGACGGGATGGCCGGAACAACAGCAGCAGCAGCAGAAGCAACAACAACAATCCGACAACGTGGTCCAGCACCGGCTGCAACACCATCTGCCCCAGCAGAAACAGGACGTCCGGCTCTGGGAATTCGGATCCCGGCTCCCGAAAACGACGACCACGACCACGGCCGTCCCGCCGCTCCCGCCGCAACCGGCCCAGTGGTTCCACAGGTTCTTCTGAACACCGTTTTCACTTTATTTTAATTTTATACTTACAATTATTATACCCTCACCGTTTTATTATTACCTACCTATATAATTATAATTATATTCTTATATACTTTTTTTTTTTTTTTTTACTAAACGTGTTTTTATACTCAGTATTTCGGCACTAGTTTATTAATATTGATTATTATTATTATTATTATTATTGTACTTTTGTTGCCATATTTAACACCCCTAGATTATTATTGATTATCATAATTACTATTGTCGTGTTATTATTATTATTTTTTTTTTTTTTTTAATTTCAGTCACGTGTGTTTTTATTCGTACAATAATATTATATTTTAACACTACGAATCGTACAGTTTAGCGGTACCCCTGAGTAGTGACAACAGTACCGCCCGCCCCCTCCCCTATATACACTAATAGTAATAGTCTAGAGTGTAGTAGTTGTAAATGCATAGGAATTATTGTATAGTATTGACGTATTTTTTTTTTAAAACCTACAAAAAAAAAAAAATAAAAAAAAAATAAAAAAATAAAAAAAAAAAATGCTATACCTACAACTGCTGATGGGTAAGCTACTGTTTTAGATGGAAAGCTGGGAGGGAGAATATGATAAAGAATAATTTAGTTTA